CTCCAACAACTCTTACACGTCACCTTCAAACACGGCGTCTCATACGTAATCTTATTCTGCCACACCCCCTTCCTTTGTCTCTTGGGTCCGCCGTAATGGAAGCGGAATAGCTTTACCTTGCAAGACTTCACACCATTTCCTGCGTCTTTGGGTTTACGTTGCTTCGCTTCGCGGATCTTGTTGGACGGAGAAGGAGGTAGTGATAGGCATCGTAACTTCAGAGTCAGCTTCCGTGGTGCGTTCTCGTTATTTGTTTTGTGTAGCGGCGTTGAGGGAGGGGGAGAGTATGCGTTCCATATGTGTGCCGGTATTCTGATCCTCAGCCGCGTTTTATCTGGAGGGCTGGGATTTGCGACAAGCGTGGTGGGCTGGTACTCATTCCACATGCGCTTTGGTATCCTGATCTTTAGGCCCATCATGTCTGTGATTAGGTCGGCTATCGCGACCCTTTCATCGGGATGTTGTTTGACTAGGCTCATTCGTTGCGCTGTCGAGCTTGCTGTTTCCTCCATCATTGCGGTGCTACAAATGTGTTGCTAGCTGAGAAGTTTGTTAGAGTATTTGTTGGGTGCTTGATAGCTTGCATGTGCGGTAAGCCAGAGATCAATGACAGCATGGCTGCCGGAACAAAGGTGTTTCAGATTGTTGAGATGAATGCCATTGTCTTGCCCATGACCAAATGTCTTTCTCTAATGATACCCCGCGTAAATGCTCATGATGCGATGCTGAATGCTAGATGATAGTATGAAAGTCGCGTGAGAACAATCGTCTACTCGTAACACTGGTCCCAAAGACCACCACTCCTCGCAAAGCTCTGGCTCTCCACAAATTTACTCAAGGTACACCTTCCGAACTTGTCGCCGCCGCAAAACTCTAATGGGTGCACGCGATCGTTCACAATGACACGAACCGACTCTTCCTTCGCATGCCTGCACTGCAGCTTCTCCACGTAGAGTCGGGCTGCGAAAGGTACACTCCACGCTGCTGAGTAGCCATGTGTCTTCTTTGTATCCTCGATGGTCGTGTTCGACAGCGGCTTCGTTTTGTTGTAAAGTCCGAGCGCAGCCAAAACACCGCTGATGTCGTTGTCGTGGCTGAAGTCGGCGTAAACCTTGCGGTCGAGCGGGAACGTCTTGGGATCGGAGTCGAGCGTGCGGTTCGTGTTGGTGTTGTCGTCGACAGGCTTGTTAGTCAGACGCGCCAACAGCTCGTTGACGTAGCCGACGCCCTGCGTGGGACCGAGCGGGTTGCCGACGCTGTATCCGTAGTACTTGCCCAGCGTCTGGAAGTAGTCATACTCGCGCCATTCCTTCACCTTGAAGATCTTGCAGAAGTCGGACAGCTTTGCAGACGGGTGTGCTAGTGTATCGAAGGGGCACATATCCATCAGATAGACGATGGACGTCGCGCTAAGGTTCGTTCCAAGAGCTGAGTTGATGCGTTCTTGGATGGGTGGGACGAACTTGTCGGCCCATACCTGCTGCGCCCTGAGTCCGAGACCGTGATGTGGGCCGCCCTCGAAGGCGGGACAGACGTCGTGGGAGAGGGTGTTGTTCCACGTCGGCCCTTCTGGGATCACCACGTCGATGTTTCCCGGCTCCTCTTTCAGCGACTGCGCAACGCCCATAAGCCACTTCTCCGCGGATTCGACCACGCGATGCTGGCCCCCTGACCGCACGAACGGCACGTTCCCGTCGATCAGCTTCTGGTACCGTTGGTAGAAGTGAGCCCCGGAGTTGACCATCTCCTGCCTTCCAGCATCTGTCAACTCATCCGCACCCAGGGTGTAGTCATAATCCTTCAGGAACTCGAATTCCTTCGGGTACGATGTAGTCGTGTTCTGTATTTCGGCTAAGAGAATGTGGTACGCGATCGATTTGCCCAGAGTTGGGTCGCGACCGCCGTGGCGGGAGAGGACGTTCGCAAAGGTGACTTCACAGCCCTTGGGAGGAGCTACGTCGATGTCTGAGGGGACCGAATACCAAAGCGAGTATTGGCCCCAGAAGTGCGATTTCTTCGGACTACATCGGTAGCCTTGGTCGATGGTGTCGCACGACTTCTTGGGACGAGAGAAAGTGAAGAGACTGGCGGTTGTCAGCTTTGCGTGCTCCAGCATATTGGTGCTTCGTACCCATGGACACAATACAGGACCACACATGCGCCAACCACAAGAAGGACCCGACGCCCAAAGCCTTTCGGTCGCTGTTCGCGTCGAGATCTGTTGGAAAGAGGCTCCTTCTCGCTCATTGGGAGCGGAGCATAATCTTGCGAGCGATTGTTGCGCATCCTGTTCCACGCCTGCGTCATCTAATGGATGGGTTGGGGACGATATACAATGCGAGTGGCATTGACGCGCTGCGTACTTCGGTACTAGGTGTTGTTGATGGGAATCGAGTCGTCCAAGTGACGTATGCGTGTATGGCCATCATGGTGTTCGGCAGAAGCCGTGACCGCCAAGCCGACGCCCGGGCCCCATCCTCAAACTCCGCCAGCACTCTTCAATGCCTTTGCCTTTCACTCGCTGTCATCTGATCTCGTCACATATCTCCAAGCCCATCTCCAAGAACACGCTCTTGACGCGCAATCTCCGGCTAGATACGGTCGCGTCCGCTTGCCGACACCAGTTAGGCCTGTGTGCAATTGCGCGATGTAACGCCGTTCCGTCAGCGCGAGATAGTCGTCGCTATGGCGCCTGATTGGCTTCTACCCCATGTTTTGGCCCCTGTGGAGACCACCACCGGGCCTCTTATCTGTGGATGAACCACAAGTAAGCATTGACAAGCTTCCACTGACCTGGTCGCCATGCCTGTTCGGTGCAGCCGACGTCAATGGCCGCATGGCTAAGAGCACGGCTTCGCGCATCCTTCCGGATCGCATCTTCACGTCCATGTGTTTATAGAGACTGTCTGCTCCATCATCATCTTCCGGTCGTTGGTATCACGTCGCGAGGACCCGGTAGCTGCCTGCATACGCCATCATGAAACCCGTCGAACGGCACACGCTGGACGATGAAGCCCAGTTGCAGGCACTCGGACACAAAGGCGAGTTGAAGCGCAACTTCAGTCTTTTGTCTATGCTTGGACTCGCTTTCGCCATCTTGAACTCGTGGACTGCGCTGTCATCGTCAATCGGACTGGCTTTGCCATCTGGTGGCTCTACAAGCGTCATCTGGGGACTCGTCACCGCTGGCATCTGTAACTTGTGTTTGGCCGCATCGCTGGCCGAGTTCCTGTCAGCGTATCCTACTGCTGGTGGACAGTAAGTACCTTCAGTCAGCTTTCGCATCGTCAACTCACGCATCGCAGATACCATTGGGTTGCCGTCATTACCCCGCGGAAATGGGTTCCCCTCGCTTCTTTCATCACCGGCTGGATCAACGTATCCGGATGGCTCGCCTTGACTACCTCCGGAGGCCTCCTCGCGTCCCAACTCATATCCGGCCTCATCGCGTTGTTCCACCCTGAGTTCACGCTGCACGCATGGCAGGTCTGGCTGATTTATGTCGCTTGGACTCTCATCGCCTTCGTCATCAATGCGTTCATGAACAGCCTCCTCCCCTACGTTAATCGAGGCGCATTCATCTGGTCTATCGGCGGCTTTGCGATTGTCTGCATTACAGCCCTGGCATGCTCATCTCCTAACTACGCTTCCGCCGAGTTTGTCTTCACCGAGTTCATCAACGAGACGGGATGGCCCGACGGCGTCGCCTGGCTCTTGGGCCTACTCCAGGGCGGTTTCGGACTCACCGGCTACGATGCTGTCGCGCATATGATTGAAGAGATTCCGAATGCGTCAGTCGAGGGCCCAAAGATCATGATCTACTGCGTCTGTATCGGAACTGTCACCGGCTTCATCTTCCTCATGGTCCTGCTATTCGTGTCCGGCGGCGACGCGGAAGCCATCATCTCTGCAGCTCCCGGTCCACTTCTACAGATCTTATACAACGCCACAAGCAGCAAAGTTGGAGCAGCATGCCTCTTGATGTTCCCATTGATCTGTATCCTCTTCGCGGAGATTGCCATCATGACTACCTCTAGCCGCATGACATATGCATTCGCTCGAGATGGCGGCCTTCCATTCTCCAGGGTCTTTGCCAAGGTACACCCGCGACTCGGTCAGCCGCTCAATGCTCTGATCCTGGCTGCGACCCTCACCATCCTGTTTGGATTGATCTTGATCGGGTCCAGTAGCGCTTTCAACGCTCTGATCTCATCCTCAGTCGTCGCCTTGGGCGTGAGCTACGCCATTCCCGTCGCAATCAATGTCTGCCGCGGCAGAAAGATGCTTGGACCTAGGGCCTTCGTTCTGCCTGGACCCTTGGGCTGGATCGCCAACTTGATCGGTATCGCATACACAATCATCACCACCGTTCTGTTCCTCTTCCCTCCTGAGCTCCCTGTCTCAGCGTCCAGCATGAGTAAGTTTCAGTATGAGTGTGCTTGGATCTCACTAATAACGCTAGACTACTGCGTCGTTGCTTTCGGCATCATACTGTTCATCAGTACCTTCCAATGGTTTATCGATGGGCGGAAGAACTTTACTGGACCGCGGGCGGATGTCGATCTTGAAATCTTGGAAGCTATGCAGAGCAACGAGCCAAACAGTGCTTCGCTTCAGCATGCCAAAGTTCCCGGTGACGATATCACCAAGTAATTCAAACGACCGCATGTAGCAATATTTCATCTCCATATACCCTTTCGCACTGTCTTCCCTATGGACGGGATCAGGTGCTGCTCCTTGGCGGAGCAATAAGTGAAAGCGCGAACTAACTCCCGCACAATAGTATTGACACAACGTCATGTGCAAGTGCTGAAACGCCACAATCACTACTCTCGGTATTGTTATTGATGACGTTAAAGATTCCGCACCCAATGCACCACGTCTCGACCTCTTGTTCACAGCACTCTTCCACTCACAACACTCTTTCCGATACGCTTTCCACGAACATCAACCCCATTCCACATACAGTTCCACGAGAAAGCCACTTGCCAACAGCAAAGATGTTCAACCCCATCCGCAAGCTCTTGAGTTTCTGGAGCGCCGCAGACGCGAGCGTCACCACATCGTCCAACAACGCGTCAACCAAGGATGCAGCGACTGAGAGCACAGCGTACCGCGCCGCCTGCAATCACGCCGCACCTCCTACACGCTACGCAAGCGGCGAGTTCAACACCACACCGTCTCCGCCGCCCAATGCTGCGCTATCAGGATACCTGTTTTCGCAAGTGAAGAACACCAATACGTCTACAGCGAGAATGAGCAACATCCCGCCACCGCCATTTCCCATGTTCAGTGCGCCGACTGGCAACGCCACTGACGACGCTTCTACCACATCGGACGACATCGACATGCCAGATGCTACGCCGATGTCGCCTCTGACGCCTCCAATAACACCAGCCCGTGATGGTGATGATATCCGACCTTCGGTCGAGACACCAGCCCAAGAAGACGTTCACGGCGCATCCGCCGAAGACGATGACACTCGCGAGCCGCGCAACGACACGACACCACCTCCATCTCCGGAACGTGACGACAGTCCTCATTCCCAGCCACCGCGCCAACAAGACACCCAACCTACGACAACCACATCAGAGCCCGCACCAAACTGGTTAGACGAGATCGTCATCGAAGAAGACACCCCCGAGAACGCCCTCCCAGTCGGCTACCTGGGCACATTCCGCGGTAGCCGGCACTTCATCCCCGAGTACCCCGGCATGAAACGCTGCAGCAACCAAGTCACTCACCTCCTCCTCTGCGGCCACTGGATCGCCAGCACCGAGCCCTGCGGCGCCAATTGCAAGAAGCAAGACCACAGCCACAAACAGTTCAAATGCCCAACCTGCACCGACATCGTCCGCAACATCCTCACGGGATCTTTCCAGCCCGCTGATTCAATGAGGCTGAGGGAGTTCAGGAAGCAGAAAGATATCAAGTTTCTGGCTTGCTGTGTCGAGGCGGTTGTGAGGGCGGCACCGGAAATTAAGAATGGGGTTACGGAGGCTGTGGCGGGGTTTCTCTGCAAGGATTCTGGAAGGGAGTGTGAGGTGGCGGAGAATCCGGATCCGAGTGGGAGTGATAGTATTGAGGAGATTGTAAGGGATATGCAGGAGCGGTATGAGCGGAAGCAGCGGGAGAGGAGGGCGAGAGAGGAGGAGGAGGTGAATACGCGGGAGAAGAGGGCTAGGGAGGAGGATGCGAGGGATGAGAATGGCGATGCGGGAACGAGCGCGAACGGGGATGGAGTGGAGGATCGTAAGCGTGAACGAAACGACTCCTCCGCGGGTGACGACGAGAACCACGACACCGCACCCCCTACCAACCCCAACAAGAAGCGTAAGACGTCCCTAGAAACCCACCGCGAACCCATCACACCCTCTACCCGCGGCACAAAGCGTCGCTCGCCATTCTCTCCTTCTCCCTCTCCCTCTACCCCCACTTCATCTTCAACTTCCTCCTCCTCCTCCCCCACCGCCTCACCCTTCGCCTACCTCCCCAACTCTAAACCCCCCTCCCCACCATATCCCTCACCACCCCCGAAGAAGAGGGTCTTCGAGAAGCCTGATCCTGCATTTGGTGAGGCGAGTTTCGTTATCGCACCACCTCATGTCGTCGGGCCGCTTATGCGGAAAAGGCATGCTGATGTTTATGTTGAGGGTGCTATTGAGCGGGAGAGTAAGCGGAGGAGGGAGGCTCGTGAGGCAGAGAAGGAGGGTAGTGTAGAGAACGGAATGGGGAGCGAGAGGACGAGGGCGAGGAGTTTTGAGGCTTTTAGAAGGGCGTGGGACGATAGGGACGAGGAAGAGGATTGTGAGCTATAAGGGTTTGTACTAGAGACGTGAAGTTGAAGAACTTTGAGAGGTGTCGATGACGGATATTATTAACGGTTCTGCGAGGGTGAAGTTTGTCGGAGGCGGTGCATTTGCCTCCATGCGTATTGCTTTTATTCTTTTGCGGCTGATGACGTTGCGATTCTAGGGACTAGCACGCATGTATCAGTCGCTGTGGCAGCGCGGCGTTTTGCTTGAATAGAAAGAGTGTAGCGAGGCACCTCAGTCGCTGCAGTATTCAACACTCTCTAGGTAAAACTTCAAATCGTAGAAAGAATCCTCTCCACACAGACATCCTCATTATCATCCCCATAATCCTACATCCCCGTCATCACCCACTTCCCTTCCTCAATATCTATATCCCCCACCCTACTCATTCCTGCCAACTCCTCCACCCCTCTTCTCTCCACTCCCCACTCCTCCCCCCCTCCTTCATTACAACCCTAACACCACTCACCCTCTGCGCCCTATCCACCGCCTTACACATATCCACCACACTAAGCGCCGCGCCCATAACCGCCGTTAGGGCCTCCATCTCCACTCCCGTCGGCCCCGTACATTGCACTTTGGCTTCGATGTTCACACCCCCAAAACCCATTTTCCCCTTCCCCTTGCCCTTCCCCCCTAATATCTCACTTCTCTCCAATACCCCCATAATCCCCTCCATCTCCTCTTCCTTTGTTGTTGTTGTTGTCCGCGGATCCCACTTATCACCAAAAAGGCGGAGTTCAACGCTGACGTGGGTTAGGGCGATGGGGTGGCACAAGGGGATTAGGTCTGGGCATTTTTTCGCGGCCATTATGCCGGCTATGCGCGATGTACCCAGTACATCTCCTTTCTTGTTGGCGTTTGAGCGGATGAGGCGGAGGGGCACGGCGTTGGTGAAATACACGGTTCCGACGGCGATGGCGGTGCGGGTCGTGTGTTCTTTGGCGGATACCGAGACCATGTGTGCGGAGCCGGTGGGGGTGAGGTGGGGGAGGGATGGTTGTTGTTGGGACTGTTGTAATTGGGATTGTTGTCGTTGGGATTGTGAGGAGGTGGATTTGGTCTGTGAAACGGGTTGTTGAGCGAAGGATGGTTGTTGCACTGGTACCTCCATCCCCCCCTCCAGCATCGACATAGGACGAGTCTGCTGTCTCGGCTCCGCCTCAAAAGGCGAATGCGCAGCAACCTCATTCATGCTATCCAAAAAGTCTTGCAGCGACTTTGTTCCTGGGGCCTTGCCCTTGACGTCTGTCGCAGGCTTCACGATATGTCTAGGCGGCCCGGGCAATTCTGTTCGCTCCAATTTCCTCCATTCAACATGCCTCGAGCGTCTGAGTTCAGGTAGGGACTGGAGGGGTCTCTTGGCGCGTACGAAGGCTGGTTTGTCGGTGTCGGTTTCGGTGTCTTGGTTAGGTACGATTTGGTGGGTTCGTGGGACGGGCTTAGGTAAGACTTCCTCGGCCTTTTTGATGCTTTCCGGTCCGTATTGCGGTACTTTGTCGATTGTGCGTTCGACCGTTAGCGGCTGTTGGGGCGGCTGTTGGGCTTCAGACTCTTCTGCACGCTCTCGTGCACGTACTTGTGAGTCCAACTGTCTCTTCTCATCTTCTGTTCCCTGCTCTTGTACTTCCACCCCTCTCTCTTCACTCTCCCCACCCTCTCCTTGCCGCTTCAGTGTCTCAGTCATTCGTCTCTCATCCTCCATCTTCTTAGCTTGCCTCCTCTTTCTCCGCAAGACGGTACGACTTACGCCCTCACCGAAAGGCCGATGCATCCCAGGTAAGTACTCTATGTTTTTGGGAGGGTCGGGTTTGGCGTCATCTTTTGTGTCTGCGTTGGCGTCGGATTTGGCGTCTGCTTTGACATCGTGCTTTGGTGGGACGGACTCTGCGGGGCGCTTGGGTTGGGGCTTCGGGTCGGGCTTGACGTCTGGTTTGGCGATGGGTTGGACGTTAATCTTCTCGTGCATTTTTGCATCGATCTTCGCGACTGGTTTGGTGTTCGGCGTAGCAGCGGGCTTGGGCTGAGTCGGGCTTTCTGGTTTGGCGATGGGTTGGACGTTGGTCTTTTCGTGCGTTTTCGTTTCGATCTTCGCGACTGGTTTGGCGGGCGGTGGAGCAGCGGGTTTTGGCTGGGTCGTGCTGTCTGGTATGGCGTCTGTCCTATAACGCTGCTTCAAATCCTTTTTCTTCTCGTTCTTTTCGTCTTTCCCCTCCGTCCCCAAGATCTTGGACCAAGACCAAAAGCCCCGCCTTGTGGACGTCGAATACATCCTGCGACCCATAACCCCATTCGTTGTCACACCACTTCCCGCCGTCCTCGCAGGCGAAGGCTCAATGTTCTTCTTCTCGACATCCACCTCCTCACTAGTCTTGCCCACCTCCTGCTCCAGCACCGTCACCCCACCATCCACCTCTTCAGTCTCCACACCCAAAAACCCCAACCCCCCCGCCTCCATCTCCTCCCAGTCCAACCTCCCCTCCGCATCCCCCCACATATCCCCCCTCCCCCCAAAAACCTCATGCCACCTCATCGCCATACGTTCCGCCGCCTCATTCCCCAAATCATGTTCCCTCACCATACTATCCAGTACCTCCTTGACCCTCTCATCCACAATCCCCTTATCAACCTGGCCCGTACGATCAACATGGTCAAAGCGCTCATTCCACCGACTGATCAGGATCTTGAGCCAGGTTTGCAGGGTGCGTTTGTTGGACGAGGTCCAAACGTCGTAGGGGAGGTTGTCGATGCGGGGGTAGGAGGATTTTAGGCGGTTGCGGAGGGCGAGGACTTGGGATTGGAGGGCTGGGACGGGGGAGTCGAGGGAGAGGATTAGGGAGGCGTCGATGGGGACGATGCCTGAGGGAGGGATGTTGAGGCGTAGGTCGTCCTTGGAGGACGGTGGGGATGGTGGTGGGCGTGGAGTGTCTTTCTTGATGGGTTTGCTGGCTTTGATTGATGGCTTTTGCTGGGGGGACGAGGGAGGGAAGGGATCTCCTGCGTTTGCGACGGAAGTGGTGACATCGTCGGCAGTCATGTCAACTGGCTCATCTACCAACAGATCGTCGGTCGACCCGCTGGTAATGACCGTTGTCTTTTCCTGACCCGATTCAATCGTGAAAATTTCCCCAGCATCAGCTCGTTCCCCATCCATAACCTCCTCCCCCACCACCTCCTCCCCATCCCCATCCCCACCCCTCTTCAGCACACTCACAGCCCCCTTCCCCGCCGGCCACACCACCCTCTTCGCCCTCGGCACATCCACATCCTTCACCTCCCTCTCTTTAACCACCCTTTCTTCCCTCGGCGGATGCATCGGCATCTTCTTAACCTTCTTCATCGCATCATCGAGTACCTCATCAAGCTCAAATCCCTCCGGCAACGCCCCTGAGCTATCAGCCTGGCTAGATATGCGTACGAGACTGGCCCTGCGCTCCTCCTCTTCGTGTTGGTGTAGTTGGCGGAGTAGTAAGCGTTTCTTCGCTAGAACGACTTCTCGTCGCTTGCGCATCTCAGCGTGCCTCTCTGCTTCGGCTTTGACGACTGCGGCTTGTTGTTTGTACTCCGCTAATAGTACACTGAGTTCCTTCATCTTCTCTTTCCGGTATCTTTCTTGTTCGCGTCTTCGGGCTCGCTCGCGCTCGTTTTTGCCTTTCCTTTTCCTTGGTCCCGTCGCATTATCGTTTCCATTACCAACAGCAGTGCCAACGGCATCGAACGCATCCGCCACACTTTCTTTAATCAATACTGGCGGGTCCGGCACCTGCGATGCAGAAGCAGAACCAGAAGCAAGCGGCGTCCCCCTCTCAACCTCCACAATGCGACGATGTAGGTTCGCAATCTTCTTCTCGATATCCTTCAGGAGGTTTTCGGATTCATTCGGTGCTTCGACGTCCTCTAGAAACTGTTGGACGCCGAAGGCGTCTGTGGATCTTGATGTATCGATGTTCTTTAGGAGCCTTTTGGCTTTGGCGAGTCGTTTTAGTTGGTAGGTTTTCTTTGCGAAGGGGGTGGGGGATGTGGAGAAGGCGCGGGTGGTTGTTGTTGTTGGATGAGAGGTGGTGTGTAGGAAAGGGAGGGGCGAGGTGGGCATGCTGGAGCGTGGTCGCAAGGGGTTGGAGTGGCTGTAGGAAGGTGTTCGCGATGTAGGCCATTGGGAATCCAGGCTGGACAAGAGTTTACCATCTGAACAAGGTTAGCAAGGTACATCACAGACTGGACGGTCTCAGATGAGGACTGAATCGGGTATATGATTGGTGTATGTAGCCATAGCATAGCCGACTATCCAAGTCTAAGCGACAGTGTAGAGTCAGAAGAAAGAAGCTCGATCGCTCAAAACGCCATCTATGCAGTGACCGCCGTGGTATCATCAGACATTCCTACCATGACCGTCGTGAGAGGAAGAGATCTCGTCGCATGCGACAACAGCTCGATGGATCCAGAATGCGTGAGAAAAGAGAAAAGGAGAGTCCGAATTCACCCACCAATTAAAATCATAGGCCTATTCTCCCCATTGGCCAAATCATCCAGATCAGCATGCTTCTCCGCCTTCCTCTTAACAGCAGCTCCAACAACATCCAGAAGTTCGCGCTCGCGTTGGCCCCAGCCCAGCACCGTTTCGTCGCTCAGCCGGCCCTCGTGCCGGTCCATCTCGATCTGCCTGATACGCTCAAACGCTTCCTGGTCAATAGGCTCGCCATTATTACCCTGTCTGAGCACGTCTCTCAAGCTCACCTCCGCATTACCATGCAAACAGACTTTGAGATTCCCGTCACTCGTAATGCGAAGTCTATTGCAGGACCCGCAGAAATCGTTCGTCATACTGGTTATAAAGCCGACTTTGCCCACGAAACCAGGTACTTCGTATGTTTTGCTCGTGTCGTTTTTGTGTCCAGGGACGGGTCTTAGGCCGGGGTATTTCGTGCGGATGATGTCTAGCATCTCTTGGAAACTGATCATCTTGTTCTCGCTCCACTTGTTCCCGCCGAAAGGCATGTACTCGATAAACCGCACTTCGATGTCTTTCTCGCGGCCCATTTCGACAAAAGGCAGGATTTCGCGCTCGTTGAGACCGCGCATGACGACGCAGTTGACCTTCAGCTTAACATTCGCGCCCAGCTTATTCATTTCGAGTATGCGGTCAATTGACCTCATGACGGCGTCGAAGCCTTTCCTTCGGGTCATGATCTGGAACTGGAACGGGTCTAGTGTGTCGAGGCTGAGATTGACGCCGGTCAGGCCTGCTTCGACCATGGCGTCTAGTTTGCGGTGCAGCGAGATGCCGTTGGTTGTGAGGGCGAGTTCGCGGAGGCCGCGCGGGCGCAGACTGCCGATTTGCTGCATGAGCGGGACGATGTCGCGGCGGACCGTGGGCTCGCCGCCTGTGAGCCGGATCTTGGTTACGCCTTGCGAGACAAAGAGGGAGGAGAGGTAGAAGATTTCGGGTGTGGTGAGCATGTTGGCGGGGGGTGATAGCGGTATGCCCTCTGTTGTTTGTTAGCAGCTTGTTTTGCTGTGCAGATATTGGAAGCGCACCCTCTGGCATGCAGTACAGACACCGCAGGTTGCAGCGCTCTGTGATGCTGATCCGGAGATAGTCATGCTGCCGATTGAACGTATCCGTCAGGAAATCAGAAAAAGGTTTCGCGTTCTTAATCGCCTTCCTCCGCTCCTCCACCTTCGACGACGCCGGCACCGAAACTGGGGGTACTCCCGCGGGGAAATCCACATCAGGTTCCTGGATCGCAGCATTCGTCGCAATGCATCTTGTGCGTAATGCGCTTATCGACAGTCGCGTAGTCGGGTGTGCAAGCGGTCGTGAAAGCGGACGTGACATGGGATTGCCACCAACCGCCCGTCGCAGTCGCAGCGCGGCCGGACCCGCCCGTATCCTAGCCATTTGCGCCATTACGTGGAGTGTCGATTCGAAAGTCCGCGTCGTACATTGGGAGGAGGAGGGGCGCACATGGGGAGCTATATACGCCGCAAGAGGGTAGGGCGGAGATGACTGATATGTGACATGCTTCGGAGCGGTTCAGGTGGGCTGTCTGAGCCTGTGACAGGGATCTACAACCGCTCTTGGCGAATCCTTAGTAAGATGGCTCCAGCAAAGGTGGGGTATGCGGCGAGGTGCGATACGCGGTAGTTCGATACACGGTAGTTGGATTGTCACAATCGTGCGTAAGTACAGAGATCCATGCTTGTTCTTATGTGCGATTGTGTAATTCCGTGCATGGTGTTTGCAATGCGTTTGAACATCTTCGCATCGCCGCGGATTCGTTCCGAGATTTCCGACATGGAGAAAACGAGTGACCCTCTACAGGTCCTTCTCATACAAGGGAACATACAGCAAATCCGAAGACTACGCTAAGACAAAGCAAGCATGCAAGACACCTGGTGTGAATGAAGACTCTAGTATCATTATCTCTTTTGCCTTCATTTATGTGCCACTAAGAAGCCCATCCATAGACGCGCTGCCACAGACCACCAATACATGCGCGATCGTTCCCAAAATCGCACCCGGGCAATGTCATCAACCGCGAAAAAACGACCACAGCGACTGCGCTCCCTTGCTGCACCTTTTCTACCCCAAACAAAAAGCCGCGAAATGACGTCTTATCTGGCGCGAACACATACTCCCTCGCCTTTCTCGAGCGCAACAGCGTGTACTCTCAATTCTGTATCACACTCTCCCTACACCCCCAGCCCTAGCCGTCCACTTTTCATACAACCCTAACCAGCCCCCATCTCCCGACATACCCATCTACCCTCTCATCCCCCCCTCCCAATTCCATACCCAGGATACGGCCTAACCCCCTCAAACATCCTAATACAATCCCCAACATTCCTCCCCTGCCCCTCCAGCCCCACCATCTCCTTAACAATATTCTCCAAGAAACATATCACCGCCCTCGCTCCCTCTGCCGGATTCCCCCCACTCAACCCCTTTCCCACCAACCCCTTCTTCCCTCCCTCCTCCCTCGCCAACTCCATGATCAGCGGTAAGTCAGAGGCGTCAAAGATAGCAGAGTCGTCGAGATCGAATTCAGTCGCTGGACCCGTGAGGTGCGACCATGTGGCAGGCCAGTTTACATCGTCTTCACGTCTGAAATCCGCGCGGCCGAAGAAGAAGAGGGGGCTGTTGTTTGTGGAGGAGTTGAGGAGGGGGGGTGTACCGGAGAGGTTGATGCTGAAGCTTGCTCTGGGGGAGTTTGTAGTGTTTGTACCGGAGAGCAGGCTAGGAAAGAGACTGAGACTCGTTGCAACTGTGCCACCTAAACCATGACCAATGACACCGAAAGACTCCGTGTTTAAACTACCCGTAAAGTGGAGGGCAGGAAATTGGCGGATTATCAAGGAAGTACTGTTGATTTGGCTGAGTGTGAATGCGATATCCGAGATGCGTGTCGCGACCGCAGTTTCCACAGTTTCGTTATACTCCGTAACCGGCGATAAATTAGACAAAGGAACCGTCCCGCTGTTATACACAACCTCCAAATCCCGCGTTCGAGACGACGTGAACTCGACGATTGACGCGTCGCCAGGGTGATCGATGACGACAACTGCGGCACCATTAGCCGCGATGTAACGCGCGGTTGTCGAGTACATCAACCTGCTCGTGTCGACGTGTGGTTCCAGTACCACAACGGGTACCTTACTGACGTCGCCGCCGCCGCCACCACCACTATCACTACCAACACAAGACTCGTAAGTCATCGTTTCAAAAGCCCCCGCATCCCGCTCATTCCCTTCAACAAACTGCTCATTTGCTATCTTCGCGGTTTGAGGCGGCATGTACTCCTGCGTGCCCATCGCAGAACACTGTTTCCTGGGTACAGGCATGTACAAGCTGACCATGATCCGTCGGTCTTGATCTGGGCGGTAAGGATCCTTTTTTGTCGAATCGGTCAAGGGGAAGTGGGAGACCGCGACGAGGTAGTTGTGGTTGGTGTCTGCGCCGGGGATTTCGATGGAGTGGACATTTTGCGGGAGGAGCACTGTGAGTGTGATGACGAGTATGAGGCCGATGATGCCTAGAGAGGGAAGCATGATGGCGGGGCGAGTGCAGAGGCGGAGGAGCTTGAGGAGACGGGCCTTGAAGGCGGGTTTGGTGGGGGTATCTGAGGACATGGAAGCGAGTGTGGTGCGAAGTGATGTTGGTGAAGCAGTGGAAGAGCAGCGGGTTCCCGTTGTGACGTGGTAGATACGGGAAGAGGAGGAAGGGACGCAAGTTACCGGATTGCTACTGTAGGAACTTGGTCTAGCGCAAGCATTGAGTGAATGTCTCAGCAGCGGGAGGAACTTTAGTGTGTCGTTTGTGTTTGTACTACGGTGCCGACATTCCATACATAAGCAAGGCCGCCGGCAGCATAGAACAGGCATGCAGACATGCACACGCACAGAGGAGAGAAAAGACCTCCACCACCTCCCCTCCTCCACCCCTCCGCCTCCCCTCCGCCTCCCCTCCGCCTCCCCCACCCACCCTGGGATGCAAGGTACCGGATTACTCTGTTTGCGATGTGATCTAGTGGAACGTTTGAGTGAAAGGTTTCAAGAGCGGGAAGTACTTAGTTTGCCGTTTTTACTACTGTGCTCACGCTCCATAAATATAATAAGGCCGGCAGTGTACGCCAGGCGGACAGATAAACACACGGACAGAAGCAGAGGGAAGAGGCCTCCGCCACCTAGGCATGCGAGGTACCGGATTGTTACTGTAGCAAGTTGGTCTAGTGCAAGCATTGAGTGAAATGTTTCTGACAGCGGGAAGTACTTTAGTGTCCCGTTCGTACTACTGTGCCCACGTTCTGTGAATGTGACGAGGCCTTTGTGTGGTCGGTGCGTGGTCGCACTGGCAGGATGCGCCTTCGTCTTCATCTATGTCTTGGTTACGAGCCGAGTAGTACCCGCACGGCAAAAAGTTGCCGATGTGTATTGTGTTTCGCATACCAACAGACACTGCGTAGGACCCGAGTTCGCTTCTCCAGTTTCGGGCTAGTGAAGGAATACCAAGACGTGAAAGCTGGCTAGGAAACTGGAATGGGATGGGAGAACAAGGAGAAAGGACGCGGGACTCTTGGAAATGAATACGCGGATGGAATGTGAGAAGTAGAAGGATCGTTACTAGTCTATAGCCATGTACCATGACACCTCTATGTCTTGTCTCTTCATCCCCTCCTCTATGCGCAAAACAAGTAATGTTGAAATCCGGCCGTATCTTCGTAATCGTGCAGTGTGGGGTATAAGCAATGTTGAATCCTCCGTACGTAAAATGAGCGTAAACATCGTGGCCTGTAGATCCCCTCATCAAATGATTGATTGAGAAGGGATCTCGAACGCGAAGGTCATGGCCTGACGTAGATCCTTGGGACTGGAACGTCTCCCAGCCAGAACCTATCAAACACGCGTAAGTAAAACCAGAAACAAAACCAAAACTTTTCAAGACCCCGACTCCAGGGAAGAAAGCGACAACCTCTTCCTCTTCTCAATCGGCAACCTCTTCCACATGCCAACATGCTCAATACCCTCTTCGATCCAGTGGGGTTCTGCTGGTATCTCAACCTCGCCGTCATCGTTCTTCAACTCCTCGTGGAAGCCGTGCTTCTCCCACATGCTCTGCAGGTTGGCTTGGGCGTGGATCATGACCAAGCCTTGCCAGGTAATCTCCCGCTCCTTGTTGTTGCCGAGTATCTGCGCCATCTCCAGGGCGGTGGGAGAGGGAGGCCGGTAGATGAGATCAGGATTTGAGCCCGCGTAGTCGAGGGCGGCGTTGATGAGCAGCTTTGCGAGGCCGAGACTGCGGTAGGGCGCTAGGACCGCGAGCCTGCCGAGCTTGATGTATGGCTCTGGCGGGTGCTTACTCTCCTGCTCCTCACCGGGTGGGTCTGCATCGGCATGCTTGTCCGTCTTGTCGTCCTCGACGTACTTGTTTGGGCCGTGGGGCGGGGGTATCAGGCGAATCGTCGCGACGGGCACGCGGGTGGCGGTGGCTGAGGCGCGGCGGGCGTCATCAGCTGGAGTGTTGCCAGAGTCGGAGCGGCGCAGTGTCTTGGGAGGGTGGGTGGAGTGTGTGGCAACGGAAGCATAAGCGACCCAGTGCCAGCTGCGGGCATCGTCTTCGTCGAACTCGGCTTCGAGGGGCACGCCCTGCTCGCCGTAGACTTCCTCGCGGATGGCCATGGCGTCGGCGAAGTTCTGCGGGACGTGGATCTTCTGCTTGCTGCAGGGGAGCGTGTTGTCGTAGCCATCGAGGGCGCTCTTGAGTGGGCACACGGTGTTGACGAACTCGGTGCCGGAGTTGGTCGCGATTAATGGCGCACCGTTGGGCGAGCCGAAGCCGCCTTTTAGTACGCTGGTCATGGCGGGGATGGATGGGGTCGCTGTTTAGTTGCGCATGTGGTGAGGTCGGTGTGGTGGTGAAGGTGCGGTTGATTTGGGAAGAGAGGACTAGAATGGCGCGCTTGGTGGCAGTGATGAGGGAAATTGCGTGGCAGTCGTCGTCTTGAATTGGCGCAATTCAGGCAAACCCTGCTTTGGGAAGGCGCGATGCGCCCTATAAAGAGGGCACACCGACAAACTCTACGGTAGCATGCAACACGTTGTTTTGGGACCCGCAGTTTCAGTCGCTCAGGGTCCTAAGACTTGCTCTATACTCATAGCGGCACAACAGCTGGAGATCGCGCGCAGTCGAGGTGCGCGGGCGAGTGACGTCTCGAGGCCGTCCCCCACTGATGTTGAGAAAGTGATGTCACTAGCTTGAACCCTTGCTCGGACCGCACGGACTACACGGCATATGGGGTCCGACGACCAATCACGGCGCGCGCTACACATCGGGCTGCCACTATCGCTGCCCTGAGATCGTCTGGTGCCTTACCTGCGTCTGTTTCACATGTCAGCTCGAGCTATTCGCCATAGCAGAGTACGGTAGAGTTTCCGGTATTGCGCGTTCCCTCCATCAGTGCCAGACTGCCATGGGCATGTGTGCGTACGCAAGGCTGACAAGAGGAGGCGCAATGAAGCCGATAAAACCCACCAGGCTCGAATAATGCATACCACGCTGCCTTTGCATTACTGATCAGGTTATACATGCACGCCCTTCAAAAAGTTTTTGACACAACACCAGCAGGTTGCATACTACAATCAGAATCGAGCGAGCTTTTTTTTTTTTCACTAACGTAGCTATCGTGACTCATGCACTGCTGTGTCACCTTGAAGGGCGTGCGTATACACATGAACGCTACTCTCGTGGGATTCTCCTATCCTCTCCCATTCATCACACCCGGATAGTTCAGACAGCCGAGGATCATCGAGCTTGTGAGAGAGTCGTAAGCAAAACCCTTAGATACCTTGATAGATCTACGAAGGTTGGAGCACCAGGGCGAGCTATTCGCCACCATCGCCCGTTCGACAAAGTTCATGTTACGCGGTCGCTTTATGGCTTACACCCAAGCTTCCTATCGACGTGGATACGTATGGAACTCTGACGTGTGGGGCATGAGTAGGTATAATATCACAAAAGCCTTTTCACGAAGATGAAAGGATAGATTAAGGCAACCTTCAAGTCACACATGTGCTTTCGCATCCAGCTTTTCCATTTTCCCCTCCGTCTTGGTTAGGCAACCATACAACATCAAGCGTCGCTGAGTTCTACTGTGGGAGTTTTTTTGGACTTCTCTTGGGTATATAAGATTCTGGGGATCTGGCAGTCTTATCTTCGGCGAGCCACTCGACCAAACGAGTCTCCAGTGTATCCCGATCAGTCATTATCAAATCCCCAAAGCTTTTGGGATGATCTGACGGATCAGATTGAAGGTAGAAGTCTTTGAAGTAATGCCATACTCGCAATGAACTGTAAATAATAAACACCAGTATGGCGGCATTTCGTTCGTCTGTATAGGGTAGGATCTCGAAATTTTCGAAATATGCCCTAAGTGCAATAGACAAGGTCCAAGTAGATAGTCCAAACACCGGCTCCTGGGGATATGTGGGATTTTCGAGGAGATCGTCTTGAACAACCCCTTCGAAATTGTCCAGTTGAGCCGCGCTCAATCTAAAGATCGATGCAATCTTTTTGGAAACATATGCGTTCCGTGGAGAGGGGCGCTTCATCTGCTTGAGAGATTCCGTGGAAAATGCAGAAGCGGTACTTGCTATCATCGTTGCCGGAGATATCAATTGTTCCCCATGCTCCCGAATCATCATGATTGCGATGGATATCCTTGGAAGTGACCGATACTTCGCGGGCAACAATTTGGACGTGAGTGGAAAGAAGTTGTAGACTCTCACCACATCTTCCCAATCATCTAAACGCCTGGTGTCATTCCGCAGTGGGGTCGTGGGAAACATCCTGCGGTACAGATGAAGTATATAATGTGTCAGAGAGTCCAGAAGGTGGTTTTTTGCAGCGGTGTTTACCAAAGGAGTGTCGTCCATGTTGGAAATTCCTTCGTACCAATAGTTGAGAGTTATGATCCAAGATATGTCCGGTTTAGAGGTAGAGACGTAATCGAGACTTGAGAGGAACATTCGGAAAGCATCGCGGTGGAAGTTCGTATGGAATTCCACTACGTCTCCCAATTCTGGCCAAAAGAAGCGTATTGCGTCTTTCCATTTGACCATGCTGAAAGAGTAACTCCAGACCGTCATTGGATCGGACCCCTTGGTGTCATATTGTCGAAAGTGAAGTGGTTCCAAAACGTCTAGAAGATTGCGGACTCGCCAGAGGAGCCTAAGCATAATATAAAAGCCGGCCTTTGAAAATGGAACTGTGGAGCGTTCAATCGTCACAGGACCGAAACCATCGTCCAGATCAATCTTCATGGGGCTAGAGCGACCGCAAAGCAATTTTGGCGAGAGCCCCGAGTCCGCTGATGAATTTTCTGGTGGTATATCGGCGAAGATCAACATCTCGGAAAACTTCGTCCGAACGTCGCACGTAAACTTCGGAATAGCTGTTCGCCACGAATATGTCTTCAAGATGTTTTGGCATCGAAGACAAATACCACGAGCATCAAGATCGCACTTGGGAATTAATCAGCAACATAGTCAAGCTTCAACTGGAAGTTGTACACGCACCTTTCGTTTGTTGAAGCGACACCCATAGCATGACCGTGTGGCCTTCTCCGTAACGTGACGACGCCTTGGCTCAAGTCTCCGCCGCTGGCGATCAGCACTTGGGTTGGAATGGAAATATATGTTGTCGAGTGCATATGCAGCGCTTGTCCGTTCAGCGCCAGTACTCTTAGAGCTGCGTTCTTTCCGTTTTCCGCGCTTGATCTGTCCTCTGCGACTTATTGCAGGAAGCTGGGGCTCGAGAGTCTCAGGTACATGAAGGCTGATTGTGTCGGAGTGATCGATTGCCGGTATTGTCACATCCAAAGATTGACCGGGCACTAGAGGGGTATGGCTGTCCCATGACGGGCCCTGATGAGGAGTAGTCGAACCGTGAAGAGGTCTATTGGTTTGACATGTCGGAAATTCGCCCCGGGAAGCAGGACTTGATCTAACATCGTACAGTGGAAGACTCAGTTGAATGCAAGGAGGCCTAGGGGCGGCCATGGAGAGATCGTAATAATTGCCTTGGTCATGTGAACCCAGCACAGAAGGCATCGTGTGGTATTGGGATGTTTCGAACATTACCGGATGAAAAGCAGGTTGCTGACTGTATGCCGAATGACCGAAGGCATTGTAGTCGAGGTCCTGGACGGCGAGAAAGGTATCGTTCTGCTGGCTAACATCTTGGAAATGATTCTGAAAAGCATTCAAATAGACAGTAGGCTGTGGTAGCTGTTGTGAAGGCCAAAAGTTGGCGTCGATCCCATGTGCAGTCATGTTGTCTGTCGAGATCAAGCCGTGATTGGGTATCTGAGATGGGTTCGCAGGCATGTTGGTGTAATCATCGGCCCCAGTATATCCAGTAGCTGTCCAATCCATGGTAGTATAAGGATGGCTATCCGTAGCATCCTGTAAGTGTTGACTTGCGGGAACCGCCTGCGCTTTCTCGAGAATCTGGTAGCGTGCTACCTCATGCTGCCACTCCACTTCAGCAAGCTGTCGCTGAACTTCTTCGGATAGGTGAGTTTCCTGTATATGCATGTTCTCGAGATGATTCGCTGCTTGCTGATCCAACTGGGAGGGCACCAACGGTGTTGGAGGGGGTGCGTATTGTAGCCCAATACTCATGGATGGATCACCAAGCATCTGGGAATCGTCCAAGTGCGGAAGAGGGTATGCAATATCTTCTTGAGCGACTGTAAAGAGCGATGAATTGGGTGGTCGATGGTTTCGTCCAGTCGTGACTTCCTCGCCTTGTTCGGCTGCAATTTCGCCATCATCCACGACGTTGACTTGCATGCCTACTTCGTGAGATGCGGATTAACGGTTCTCTCTTTCGAGAGAAGCTCCGGAGATCCCAAGGGCAGAGGAGCGAAATGCTGATGAGGTATCGTGCTGAAAGAGAGGTGCGCAACTGTGTGAAAGCCCTCAAATGATTGAGTCGGTGGGTTGGGAGGCGACATGTTGATAGAATGCAGAAGCATTGTTTATACACTGACACGGCGAGAACCAGGGCTGTTGAGAGACAGGCAGACATCAAGGGCCAAGCCTGAGTGACAGAGGCTGAGGGACGTCGGTAACAGCTTCCGCATCCCAAAGCAGACTAGACTACGCCATCCTTCACGCTCAGGCCATGCTTCCGCAGCCAGAACAGTCTTAGCGCTGTTTCGGGCACTCACTAGCGCGATATCATTACCAGCACTCTGCAGTTCCGCAGCACGAAAGAGACTAGCACCATCAACATGCGAGGATGCTCATCGTTCCGCAACCGCATACGGATGCGCAAAGGAATTGAGCCCCTAAACCTCGCGATGTCGCCGCGCACAGCCTTCGTGCCTTCTTCCCGGGCAAACATGTTCATACCCAGGTAGATAAGAACACAAAAGCCCGCAATGTAGTAAAGGACAGAACGACCCCCGAAGGATCACAACCTATCGTTTCCGCCCCCACACCCCCTTACCACGCCGCACGGGAACAGCAGCCAACATCCTAGCTATGTGGACGAGATCAGACGTGCTTGCTCTCCTTCAGCTTCTTGCTATGATCATCTTTGCGAGTGTGCATGCTGTATGGTGTTTGACCATCCATCGAGGTACGCCCTTGGACATCCTGCATTCGCGCGGACCGATGTACTGACATCGATCGAGTTACTGTTCGACGTAGCGCGCCCGTCCCAGCATCAGGTGCTAGGAACAGGAGTAGAGGCGGGATACAACCACAGCCACAGCCAGGAGCCCTGTCGCAGCCACTGCCACTGCCACTGCCACGCAAGTGAACGTTGTTGTCTAGTGTTGCAGCATACATACATATCTGCCAGCCACACCAAACAACGACTCGACAAAACCTGCGCAAATACAGCCACGTGAGAGCGTCCAAAAACCTGTTACGAGAACAGACGAAGGAGATGGTGGTCGCCCTCGACACTAAGAGTATCGCAAGAGCGCCAATCCACACATGGAGTTGGCAGTTGCGTCCATTACACGAAGAAGAGAGAGGAGAACACCAGAAAACAATGATCACGTTGAATTGTGGATATAGTGATGTAGAAACTATTTTTCACATAACTGTCATGTTGAGATTCATTTGGGTATATTTCCCCTGTCGTCACTCCTTTACCTCTCAATGTCTCTACACGCTCATCCGCAGACCATACCATCCCTCGGCTCCTCAACAACCTCGTTCCCCCCTTTCCCTCCCTCTTCCGCATCCTCCCCACCCAAAACCCTCTGCTCAACCCGTCCCCCAGGCACCAGTCCCACACTTCTAACTTCCTCCTCCTCTTTCTTCTTCCTCTCAGCCTCCTCCTCCGCCCTCTTCCTCTCCTTCTTACTAACAGTCATACTCCCCTTCTCCAACGCCTCTTTCGGCAGTGGTCTAACATACGGCTGACACACCCAATACGGCCTCTTAACCCTCGCGACGGTTGCGAGAGAACTCTCATACGGGTCTAACTCCACCTCTTTCGCCCCCTTCTCTTCTTCTTCTTCATTCACTGTCGCTGTCCCTGTCGTCGTGGAGGTCGGTTCGGCAGCACCATTACCACACTCCTCCTCATACCCCATAATCCCCTCCCTAACCGCCTCTTCAACAAGCCTCAACACATTCTCAAACGCATCGATATCGCCCGTCCGTGATCGGGCAAGCGCGTCTCGCACATTGTGGTGTTGAGAAACCAGTGGACGCAGTAGGTGAAAGAGATGGGCTTGCATGGCTGTGAGGTTGGGGTTACTAGCTTCCTTCTTCTTTGCGGCTTTAGACAACGGTTTTTGTTTCTTCTTTGGCGGGCTTTCGCCTTGGTCGGCGGGGCGTTTGCCGTTTTCTGCTGCGTCCGTGTTCGTGTTGGTGTTGGAGTGGGCTGTTTCTTGCGGTTGTTTTGATGGGTCTTCGGTATCGACATCTCCAGACATCCAGAGGGGCTTCCGTTGTGGTGGTTCCTGACCGAGTGCGTATTTGTGGATGATGTCCATGTACCGTCTCATCACAGCGTCCATCCTATACCCACCCTTACCATCACGTCCGCGCCAGTACTCTCGTCCTTCCTGGCCGGGCGGCGGTGGAGCGGCGAAAATGGTGGGGTCGTAGAGGTTTCCTTCTGCGCTCATGACGCCGTCTGCGCCTGTGGCTTCTAGACACGCGGCGATGTCTTCGTGTTGGAGGATGTTGCCGTTGGCGAATATGACGGTTTCCTTGGGAAGGTTTTCCCGTAAGTGGCGGATCATTTTCCAATCTGCGAGGCCGGTGTTGTGGCCTTTTTGTTCTCGGCGTCGGCCGTGGACTGTGATGATGCTTGCGCCGGCGTCTAATAGGGTCTTTGCGTATGCCAGTGTCTTTTCCGGTGTCTCGAGGACACGCATCTTCGCTGTGACTGGGACGTCTAGCTCCTCGTGCAGTTTGCGTATCATCCTTGATATCAGATCCCAGTCTTCCTGCAGGAATGCGCCGTATTTCCCTCTCTTCGCGATTCCTTGTGGACATCCCAGATTCAGATCCACCGCATCGCAAAAGGGCGCAACGTGTTTCGCCGCGCGCAGAAAGTCTTCGGGATCGTTCGAGCAGAATTGTACGGTGAGGGGTCTGTCGAACGCGGGGTTGCCGTCGAGATGTCTCTCCGATTCAGGCAGTTGTGAGAGGTGGTATTCGTCGCTGGGTGAAGGGATGGTCGATTTGAGGGGTTGGAAGTGGGCGTCGCGGTAGTTGCTCTTCTCGCCGAACATCTTCGAGTGGAACATTGGGGTGTATGCTAGGAGGTCTTTTTGCTGAGATTCGGGGAGGAACGAGCGCGATAGTAGTCGCCATGCCTATGGACAATGATGTTAGCTATTGTCTTTGCGCAGAGTCGTATAGAGACGAAGAGACATACGAACTCAGACTGTTCGACCATGGGCGCAAGGATGAGCTTCGGACTGCCGATACTCTCATAGAATGCGCGCCCATGTAGTTTCCTCCTCTTCCCGTTTGACTGCGTCGCTCCATTACTGCTTCCAATTTCTTGCGCCATCCCATTCCCAGTGTTGTGCAGTGTCCCCGCCACCTCCCCATTCCCCTGCACCGTTGTCTGAGCCATAGTCGCCATCTTCGCGCAGTATCGATTCGTGAACCCCCTCGCTAACCTGGGGGCGACGGCGCCCCCAAACACGTGGAGAAGAGAAGGACGTATGGCGACGGACGTCGAACGCGGTGATGTTGAGCGCAGCGAGATCTTGTCCGTCGGCGAGTGTAGCGAGCCAGCAAGTGAAGCGCGTGTAGCAAAGTCGCAAACCCGTAAATGCCGAGCAAGTTCGAGTAAGACTAGTGTATCTCACCAGATGCCTCGATGACTCGTGCAGTATGCAGTGAACGTCGTCGTGCTCGTCCAGCAAAAAAACGCCATCAGCACTCCACTGCATCTGACCAATCGGAGTGCGGGGTATCTCCGTATGGTGCCTTTGTGCGAACGAAGCACGGGGAGGAGTCATGGACTTTGTTTGTGGTATGTAACTTGTATTCTCTGTTTCTTATTTCTGTGTCATTGTTCTTGTCTTACTGTTTTGCTGTTTGTGTCTGGAGTTCTTGATGCTGGGGTAGGTTGGTGGAGATGTTTCTGCAACTCCATCCATGCTTGAGACCTTACAAGGGATATGCTAACATATAACACATGTGCAAACATTGTCTATAGTTCTCAACTACTGGGTTCAGCATCATTCGATCCCGAAGACGCGGTACATTACCCACAAGCGGCATCCACATATCAAACAACCTCCCTTAGCCTTGCCGCAACCAAACCCTTACCGACATCACGCCATCAGGGTACCACATCACAACACACCCGCCACATCTACTACATATATAAGCACATGCCCACCATTTTATACATATATGTATAGGAAGAAGTACTTGTCTTCTCCCATATATTAGCACATCACCAACACAACTTTGCACAAAGATTCAGAATATACCAATGTAATTTCATCTCATCTCAACAAACTACAACCACCACACACCATCTTCCACGTATACCATAACCACATGATAAAACACACTTACACCCAGCCGAACGAACAATCAGCCATCCATCTGCCCAAAGACCTCCAGATCACCACGGTACGCGGTGATATGAGACGGACGCACGTCTTCCTGAACGGCCTACGTGCGTCCGTCGCACATCACCGCGTACCGCCATGATCCGGAGCTGGAGCTGAAGGTTTCATCGAAAAGAAAGACCATCTCCAACAATCATTATTCTGGATATCTTCGTCGGCCGTGAAACACTGTAACATCTTGTCTTCTCCACAAAGGGGACATATCAACAGATCGAGAGAGGTAAGAAACTCTCTATAAGGTTGTTGAAAGAAAACGCTGAATCGCAAGGACAAGACGAGAAAAGCACACGCAGACCACCCCCCGTGATTGATCAAGACGCCATGTTGGAAAAGCAAAAACAGGACGCCGGTATTATGCAGTTTAGTTGATGCAGATGCAGAAAGGCTTCGTGTCGTCGAAGCAGTGAAAAGGTGGAATGGGACCAGTGCCGTTGCGACAATACTGGGCCCTCCGGATATCATCAAAAGAGAGTACGCCAGGAGCAGGAAGATCCGTCCGTCCAGGTGTCATGAAGAAATGAAGGAAGTTTGTGGGCAGCGATGACAAGCAAACGCCCATGTTTAGAAAGTGCTCCAGTTCCATGTTCCCTGGAAGCTCTGTGCGAGGCTGCCTACGCGCGTATTCTCAGGACGCTTAGCCGGGACAGGGGTCTCGATGGATTTTGCGGGAGCGGGGCTGCTATTGCTGCTGTCGGAGCTCTCGCTGTTGGTGCGGCTGGAGCGGAGGTGCTCCCACTCGCGGAAGGAGCTGTGGCAGCGGTCGCAGGCACGGTGCCAGTGGCCTTCTGGGTGGAAGCGCGCGAGCTCGTCGAGACGCACGTTGTTGCGCGAGTGCTGCCAGCAGAAGATGCCGCCGCACTTGCGGCAGTGGTGGCGCCGCTGGAAGAAGCCAAAGGGCTCCTGGCAGCTGGATGCCGAACACACCGATGTGGAACCGTCGGCCTAGGGATGAGTTAGTGGGGATTCTGGACGCAACGGCAACTCTGAATTGTGGACAAGTGGACAGGTGTCGCTAGCCCGAACAGCCCGGACTCCAGCCCTGCATCGGGTAAAAGAGTAGGTATAGGTCTAGCGTGGGGGACGACGTGTGCATGTCTCGACAGCCGGCAGACGATGGAAATTATCCGAAGGCCATGGCGAGGCGACATGCACAACATGATCGACCTTGGCCGCCGAGTTTGCCCCCCAGGCGTCTTGTTGAGCTGAATTGGAGGGCTCGGCATGTCGGCTCTGCAGACAGCGGGAGGCCAGACCAGCGCACGCTAGGCGGTGGGACCGGACCATGTACGTAAGACGGTCCCCTCGCAGCCCAGGTGAGCACGCGACAGGGAAGCACGGACGGGCTAGCAGCGGCATAGCGGACAAGTAGGAAAGGCGCGAATACATACCTGCCAGTGGTTGCGTGTGATTGGCCCCGCGACGGGCGACAGTGGTTCGGCGTTGTAGAGGCTCTGCATGTCTTCATTGCCAATCTGCGAGACGGGCGTCGCGCTGCCCTCGTTGGCGACCCACCCGTACGTGCCAGCCGACCAGCCCTGGTTCGGGGACGACACGCCCGAGTCGACCTTGGGCGGCGACTTGCTGCTGGGCTTCTCCGTCTTGCGCAGCGCCGCGGGGATGCCGATGGCGGTGCGCGGCTGGTAGATGCCCTGGTGGCGGGCGAGGGGCAGGTGTGTGGTGCGCGGCGACGTGGGCGAGACGTTGGCGGGCGTGTTGACGCCGGAGTGGGTGGGCGAGTACTGCGAGTGGGTGCTCTTGCGGTAGGCGTGGTGCTGGTAGGGTGCGTGTTGCGGGATCGCAGTCGCCGTCGAGAAGGTCGTGGCCATGGTGACGGGGGGAGTTGAGGTTGGCGATGACGGAATGAAGTTGAGGTTGGCGAGAAGTCGAGAGAGACGTATAATACGTAGTCGTAGGCGGTGAAGTGCTGCGCTGGTATTGGTGCGCTGGAGGTTCTGATACAGCGCTTTGGGAGCGGGAGGCTATCAGTGGCTCTGCAGTGGTGCGACGGGTGCAGACGACGCTGACAGGCCAGCAGGACGCGTGCGGCTCCTTGGGGACGGTTGGGGACGTGTTGGTGGTGAGGGTGCGTGTCAATTGGTAGCTGACGTGCAGGCGATAAGAGACGAGGGCGGTGATACAACAGACGCCGGGGCCAACAGTCGACCGTGGTTTAGCAGGACATGATAGTGAATATAGTCGTGGTCGTGGTAGTGGGCGTATATGTGTTATGCGTCGAGTGAGGCGGATATAGGTGTAGATAAGAAACAGCGGTGTCGCGTGAGTGCGGAGGAGACCTGGGGTGAGGCTCTGGGGACAGGATGAATTAAGTTGTCGCCCGCCAGCTGCTCCAGCGACCTCTTCCCAGCAGCGAACTGACGGATGGGCGGCCATGCCCGATGGGGGATGCCTGCGCCCTTGGCGACCGACCGAACGACAGGGTATCATCGGGCTACGACCGGCCATTTGGAAGATTCTAATTGTAACATGGCCGTCGCATCGAGCGAGCTGTCTTCACGCTGCCCTCCCATGCTGCTTGAAAAGAGACTCGACAACTACAAGTCCTAGGCTGAGAGTAGCTTCTATCTCCTACGCGAACGCCCCATTTCCCCCTTCCCCAGCGCAACCCTCATTTCTTCACCACGACCGTTGCGCCTCTTCTCGAGGCGGCCAGCCGTTGGGCCCCACTGTGCCCGTTTGGGCGTCTCTTATCTCTAACCAATCACGCCCTCTGCAAAAGAAAAGCAACGCCTCAACCTTCTCCGAGGACGGAACTGCTGCGTCAAGCGTGAACTCATTTCCTGGGGCGCCCGTACAGTGATGACATAGCACTCACCCCATATCTTGATTGCGACGCCCTGCGCAAACGCAAGAAGAGGCGGTGATGGACGTTGATAGACATGATAGACATACTTTGACATCACAGCTAAATGACAGGCAAGTATGCCGCGAGAGGCGCCACACACACTACCATCCCGCTCAAGTACGGCCAGCTTGCAACAACTGGCGGGGCATTTGGCCACACTACTGTATTCAATTCAATGCACCTCATCCACTCTGTAGCCACGCGAGCAAGGCGCGCGCGACGCAATTATCCAATATATTATGCTCCACTCCAAGTGGAATTGAGGCTATTCGGCCAGAATTGGGATGGCGGGCGGGGGAGGTGGAGGGGTGGTGGTGGACGTCAATTCAATCTACTTACTTGGGTGTGTGAAGTCTGTAGGTCCGTATCGGTGAGGCCATCATGCCATACGTGCATCGTGAAGCGCAGCGAAGAATTGAGGCTATTCGGCCAGAGCTCACGATCTTGAATAATGTGGGACCGCTTCATAACATCGTACCCACTTGGGCATAGGCGTAGTGTCGTTGTTCGTATTGGTGTTGTGACCGTGCGTGCATCGTGAAGCGGTCCTGCGAGGCGTTGCAGCGATCCCCGGTTGGAGTTTTGACATCGTACCAAACCTTGCGACGCTGACATCCGAAGACTCCCCACCGTATCCGCAACTTTCCTGGGAGAACCACGAGGAGCCTGAACAAAGTTTCTGGTGACTGAACTCTGATTAGAGTCCTGGTAATACCGAGTGTCATTGCACGGTACGTCCTCGTCACCTTTACAGTTACGAACGTCCAAGGTGAAGTCACGGATCCGAATGCATCTTTCCATCAACTATCTGTCACTATTCGTCGTCCCAAGTCTTGCTAAGTCTAGGCATCTCTTGCACCGAAGTAAAAGTGACGGTGAAGCTGAAGAACATCTGTCATGTGATGGTTGGAGTGTTTGGGTCACTACGTCACAGTCGCCCAGCGTCTTACCCATGTCCACCAACCGTACGATCTCTAACTTCCCAAAGCTACATCCACCACCCACCATCTCGCATCGCAATACCTTCGCCATGTCCTGCAAAAACATCTGCAAAGACATGTCTGGGCAGTATCTTTTGCATTTGGAAGGAGACGCGAGTATAAACAAATCATTCAAGGGCTGGCACGAGAAGGATCTTATAGCCGCGACGCAAGAGCTCTCTGAGCTCAACAAAGAGACAAGGCATATCTTCGATAGCGAGAAGGAGGATAAGAAGATCATCTGCACGAATAAGATTAACGATCTTACTGCTAAGATTGCTCAGCTGGATGAGCAGCTGGCGAGCCTTGACGAGCAGATTCAGCGTTGGAAAGAAGAACACAAACCCCGTCCCCCGCTGTCACAGAGCGAGCTTGCGGAAGTGAAAGCACGAAATGAAGCGCATATGCGCGCTAGGTTGGAGAGGATCCGGTAGGGGATTGTTCGATGCAAAATCATGAAGACAGCACCTAATTCTGTAGCTATTAAACTAATCACATATTCAAGCTAAAGTCAAGATATTAGTTTATCTAGGTAGCACTGACGTACGCGTCTTGACTAGCGAGCCTTCAATACCTTACACCAACGACCGCTTGCTTTCCAAGAAAGAACTGTTGGGACCGAAATCGAGTCTCGAGTGCAAATGCTCTCATCAGAACCATCTCCAAAGAGGCATCAACGAATGTCTTGACAGACAGTGGTATTGTGGAAACCTCATCTCGCCTAGAAGCAGACGGCTTCCCAGTCGGTCCCCTGCATATTCCTGAGGCGCACCGACCAGATCCTGCCAGATGGATTCAACCGGATAATTGGATTCGTGGGGACGTTGCGCAATCATCCTTGGTGGGATTTGCCTCGCACGAAGTTCGCTCGAGCTTCTAAGATTGCACGGGTGTCGGTAGTTTCTTTTGACCACACCATGCGCAAGGGTGAGGACGTACGTACGCGTAAGAGATGGAAGTTTGGCCGGCAGATATCTCATATTACCTAGGTACTGATCCTACGCTGCGAGTTGTTTCAATGTAGTCCAGCTGCATAGGCGCGAAAGCGTAGTTGGAGTACTCCTGCTAGATCCAGAGATAAGCGACTCCCCCCGTTGGAGTCTTGGAGACGCCGGCCAGATTCGCCGAGATGAAGAAGCGCCCGTCTCATCCTGGTTCAAAGACCGAGCCGACCCACCCACCATCGTCGGATATTCGCCTCACTAACGCTGCGCCGCCGGCCACTGCAACCTCACGATACCGCCAGAACTTCGGATCACATGGACACGCTCTTCCAATGCATTGATGAGAGATCCGCAGTCTACGACGCTGAGTTGCGCAACGGCCCACACGCATCGAAGGCTAACATGACTACGACTGAGATCTGCCGCGCAGATCAATGCAAGACATCACAGGATTTAGCCTATCCTGACGTCCTCTATAGCCCTTGAAAGACGTCCAATGGCGGCTCCGGCGAATCTGTCCTTCCGACATCCACGAGCAACGGCAGCCTTGGCAACCCTCCGCCGGGACACGTCGATGAACTTTGTTTTCTGTACCGAGGCATGAACCGCCACGGGCTAGCAGACGTCAACAATGGCACGGCATGTGGCGCGGGGGAAGTTGCTTCATCTCTCGCAGTGGACACGGTTGGAAACTAAACAAAACGACGCCTGCGTCCTTAGCATGCCCGACAGCTCCACCTTCAAGACCCTTTGATGGTCCACGCGCGACATCCAGGCTATCCCTGAACACCCAACCATACGTGGCAAAATGTCAACAACACTCCCTTCTGAGCCCGTTTCGCCGAAAGCTACTCCGCTGCCTCCGCTCCCAGCTGAGGATCCGCTCACGCCTCAACAATGGAAGACGCTACTTGCTATCACGGATGCGGTCATCCCAGCAATCAAGCCCATCTCCACGGCGAGGACGCAGACTGAACTCGCCGCAACCGACACCGACTACTCGACTGCAGTCAGCAAGCTGAGGGCTTTAGCGCCCGGAAACGATCCTGATGCGGAGACGGCGGTGAAGGAGTATCTCGACGACTATGCGAGTCAGGATCCGGCGTTCCGAGCGGAGCTGCAGCGCGTCTTCGCCATGTACATGCCGCAGAACCAGAGAAAGGACCTGTGCATGGTGTTGAATGTCCTCAACACTCGGGCGGGGTCACTGGCTTTGACGGGCTATCTCACGCCAATCAGCGAGCAACCCGCTCATGTAAGGGAGTCGATTATCCAGGGCTGGGCTACCGCACGGTTGGGACCGCTTCGCCAACTGCGCCGCTCGTTGGTGATTATCACTAAGCAGGCTTGGATCAAGACGTCGCCTTCGCTGAGACGCGTAATAGGTGCTCCACGTGTGCCTGTTGGTATGAGGCCTGGGAAGGGCTTCGACTATGAGTTCATCCAGATACCTCCAGGTGACGAACCTGAGATCATTGAAACAGACGTGGTGGTTGTGGGTAGTGGGTGTGGTGCTGGTGTGACGGCGAAGAACCTCGCTGAAGCCGGCCATCGTGTGTTGATTGTAGAAAAGGCATACCACTGGACGCCAGACCACTTTCCCATGGCCGAACTGGATGGATGGCACCACCTCTTCATGAGCGGATCCTTCCTAACATCCGACGACAGTTCAGTGAGCGTAGTAGCAGGCCAGTCCCTCGGCGGCGGAGGAACAGTAAACTGGTCTGCCTCCCTCCAAACCCAAGGCTACGTCCGCCGCGAATGGGCAGCCCGCGGCCTCCCCTTCTTCACATCCGCCCAGTTCCAAGAATCGCTCGATCGCGTCTGCGACCGAATGGGCGTCTCAGACAAAAACATCAAGCAAAACCGCAACAACGAGATCCTGCTCGAAGGCGCCCGCAAACTCGGCTGGAACGCTGCGCCTGTACCTCAGAATACCGGCGGCCAACAACACTACTGCGGCTACTGCAACTTCGGCTGCGGTTCCTGCGAGAAACAAGGCCCTGTCGTGTCTTTCCTCCCTGACGCCGCCCGCGCAGGAGCGAAATTCATCGAAGGCTTCCACGCCGAAAAGATCATTTTCTCCAACAAGAATGGCAAGCGCGTCGCAACCGGCGTGCTTGGTACATGGACCTCACGCGACGCCCAAGGCGGCGTCTCCAGCACGCCCCTAACCACCCGCCGCGTCCTTCTAAAAGCCAAACGCGTCGTCGTCTCCGGCGGGACAATGCAATCCCCGCTCCTCCTCCTCCGCTCCGGTCTCACAAACCCTCAAATCGGACGAAACCTCTACCTGCACCCCGTCACCTTCCTCGGCGCCTACCACAACGAAGAGATAAAACCGTGGGAAGGCGGCATCCTGACATCCGTCGTCTCCGAGTTCGAAAACATGGACAACGCAGGCCACGGCGTCAAGCTCGAAGCCACAAACATGGTGCCCTCGGCGTGTCTGATGTGGGTGGACTGGAAGTCTGCGATGCAGTATAAGATTGATGCTGCGAAGTTGAAACACATGGTTGGGTATATTTCCATTGCAAGAGATCGGGATACAGGGAGGGTGTATCCGGATCCGGTGGATGGACGTGTCAGGTTCTCGTATCAGACGAGTAATTACGATAAGAGACATGTGCTCGAGGGCGTTATTGCGCTGGCGAAGATACAGTATGTGGAGGGTGCGACTGAGATCTTTACCGTTATACCCAATATGCGGCCGTTTATCCGCGATCCGGCGGGACCGTCTGGAGATGGTATCAACGATCCCAAGTTTGTGGCTTGGCTCGATGAGATTCGTGCTAAGGGGCTGCCGTCGCCCGAGACTGTGTATGTGTCTGCGCATCAGATGGGTACTTGCCGGATGAGTGCAAAGGAGAGAGATGGTGTTGTGGATCCCAAGGGCAAGGTCTGGGGCACTGAAGGTCTTTACGTTGCGGATGCCAGTGTCTTTCCCAGCGCTAGTGGCGTCAATCCTATGGTTACGAATATGGCGATCAGCGATTATATTAGTCGGGGGATTATGGCGGGGTTGGAGGTTAGGGAGTCGGCGAGGCTGTAGGGGAAAAGGAGAAGGGGGTGGAGAATATGTGTATGAGGTTTTAGGGTTTAGCGGTAATGATAATGATGTCTTGAAGGGTTTGCTGCTTTGCTGTTTCGATGGTCTACGTGGTGTAGCTGACAATGGCTCATCATTGCGATTCAGTTAGCATCATCGAGAGAGTCGTAGACAAACACAATTCAGCAGGCGAGCTTCGGATTCAGGCTTGTTGCATACAAACGATGGACACAAGATCTAGATAGCGATAACTTCCACCATCTCCCATCCGCCTCCCCCACCCACCCAAGCTACAAGTCTCCCCCTACCACCCATCCGTCCCACATCACCACTCCATCCCCCAAAGACCCCTCACATCCCTCAGCGCCCTAAAAACCGCGAAATGATCCTCTTCCTCCATAATAAACAACAACTGCATGCCTCTCCTCCGCATCTCCTGATGACTCGCCCAATCCGCACACCGCGCCAATCTCTCGAACAAGTTTCGGAGCATCTGGGAGTCGGTGATGCACACGGCCTCTTGACCATTCACGTCCTCTCGACCATTCATATCCTCTCGTTCCTCGAAGCTATCGAGAAGTTCAGGCTTCCCCAGGATATGAATATCCTGCACAATAGCTTCGAGCTTAGGCAACAGGTCCCACAGTTGGCTAGCCGTGATACGTTTCCCCCAGTCGAGTTCAAGCGCGCGCATCATGAAGTGGTTCAACAGGGTGCTGTATACTTTCGTCGTATACTCCGACGGACAATCGATGCGTGTGCGTTCAACAACGTGGCCAGCTTGGTAGTAACAAAACTCCTTATAGAGACCACGCGCAACAACACCATCCGGTATCTCCCGTCCACTCCCCCCAAACCAAGTCTCGGGATCAGTCTCCAGCTCCCGCACTTTCTGCATGGGTACACGACCCAGTACCAGTTCGTGCATCATGCTTCCCAAGGACCAGATATCGGATTCTGGGCCGTGGCGAAGATCGGCTTCGGGGGGTTGAAAGGACGGTGTACCTATATGTCCGCGTGGGATTTCTGGCAAGGGGTTACATGACGCAGCGCCGAAGTCTGCGATCTTGGGTAGGGAGAAGCGCTCGCCTTCTCGCGCCGCGGTGAGGAGGATGTTGGCGGGTTTTATGTCGCCATGCACAATGCCGCGGCTGTGCAGGAAAGCGAGACCGCAAGTAATATGCTTGAACACATGCCAAAGGAATAGTTCGGGGATAGGGCCATCCAAGGTATCCAGGTAGTCCAGTAGATCGCCTCTGGGACAGTATTCGAAAATCAATTGGAGGCGAGAAGGGTGCGGGGGACTCAGGACACTGTTGTAGTATCGGATGATGTTGCCGTGGCGGCCTAGGTTTTGCAGAATCGTTGCTTCTGGTAGAGGTGCGGCGGGGTTTGGGAGGGTCAGAGTCTTTACGGCGACGAGGATGCCGGCCGAGGTGTCGAAGCAGAGATCTACGAGGCCGTTTCCACCGGAGCCTATGCGCTTGACAAGCTCATACTGGGTCCAGATTGGTTCCGCGGGGGCTGCGCTGCTTTTGATGATGCGTAATTTGGTGAGCGCATTTTTGATGCCGAAGGTGCTTGCACGTTTCTTGAGTCGTGACGTGTTATCTTGAGCCTGCGGGGCGTCTGTTGCTTGCACTAAGGTCTGGTCGGAATTCTCAGGTTGCTTGGGGCTGCGCGCTGCCCTTCGCAAGTCGTGCAGAGTGCGGCGCCTGCCGAGGGGACGTTGGCTGCCTTGCTTCATGAAGCCCATAATGCCGGCTACTTGGGCTGAGGTCAAAGCGGGAGGGAAAAGGGCTGCTGTAATTCCGTGGTAGCGAACGGAGTGTGGGTTGGAAGCGAACCATAGGGGAGCACAACTGGTCATTCAGGGTCATTTGAGTGACTGCTTCTCTCGCCGCTCAAGGCGCAATTCACTCACAGTTTTGAGAGCTCGTCAATATTCATGTGAATGTTTGCAACTATGGAGAACAAGGAAGGATGTTGCAGACCTATCAGAAAGTTGCAGTAGCAATGTTTCATCTTCGCCAATGTAGCATGCGGTCATGTGCCAGCCACATCGCGATACAAGATCCACCTTGGTATCGCTCACACGCCTCTTCGTTCGAACATCAAAGGAAGGGGCTGAAGGTGGAGCGTGAAGCAGTCGGCTTGATGATCGATGAAGTACTGGCATAGAGTTTCCTGGCCAGGAGCAAATGCCATGGTGAACCGTCGGGAGATCATGGCGAGGACCATGCGTAGTTGTAACATAGCGAGGGGCTTACCCGCACAGTTGTACACGCCATAGCCAAATGGAACGAATGCGTCTCTGCGAAGGATAAGGTCGGGGCGCGAGTACCAGCGTTCGGGAATGAACTCGTTTGGTCGAACGTACGCGCGTTTATCTAAAAGATCAGCTCAAGCTGCAACAAGTGGGAGAGAAATCGCTACCTCGATGTAACGCGTACGTCGGCGTTGTGACATTCATGTGGCCCGGTATGTGTCGGCCGGCGATGACTACGCCTTCTGCGGGTGTTACACGCTGAAGACCGGAGGGAACAGGCGGATGCAATCTCAATGCTTCGTTGATGATCCCATTCAAGTAAGGCTGGTCCAATAGATCATAGTCGCTGGGGAAAAGAGAATGTAAGCCGGACAACTCATCGTAGAGCTTTGCCTGGTACTCAGGATGCCGGCATAGAAGATGGCAAATGTTCGACATCGTGATAGCGTTTGTATCAGCGCCAGCAACGATAGCCAGCTTCGCCTCTCTGAGAACGTTGCCGTTCGAGTCTGCAGATCGCGGCAAGTATGTGTATAGGTCGGACGTTGGAACGGTTTTCTTGGCACATGAGCATCACGATTATGAGTCCGTCGGAGCTTAGCTAACTTACCTTACTGCGGGCCTTCAATGCTTCATCGTACCAACCTTCCCAGGACTTCTGCTTCTTCACGGACATGCGAAGGTTCTTGGCGAGGTGGAGTAGAGGCATGTTCAGCAAGGCGAAGCCAAGTGCTTTCTGTTTGCTGAGAAACTCTACCACGATCGGATTTCGCTGCTTCGTGGTCTGTGTGTCGAAGGACTGGCCGAATGTCAACTCCGATATAACATCAAAGAAGAGGTCTAAGAAAGCACTGCTGGCGTCGATCGGCTTTCGTGATGCTGCATGACTCGCAAATATACTGGCAGTGATTCGATAGTGTCTTATGAGTCGTGGCACATAGCCCCGCGATGCTACAGCTGTTAGCTGTGATATTCAAACATTCCATCATGCTAGCTGGCCACGTTGATCGCGGGGAATCAGGAGGGGTAAAACAGAAGGAGGTGTATGCTCGACCTATTTGCTTGGCAGCAGACGAAAGCGGCGACCACTGACCTTGACTAAAAAAAGCTCTGTCCCAGTTCCGACGCTGTTCCCTATGGAGGTTCGTATCGCGGATGAATTGGAGGCTATGAAATGGATAGGTCTGATCGTAGAATTCGCCTTTCCTGATCTTGCTTCTCGGTCCGTGTACGTCCGCTATCGCATCAGGATGACAGATCGAGATCTCGCGTGGCCCTGAACAAGATCAACACTGCATCCGCTTGAATGCTCTCGAAACCCACTTATTCGCACAAAGTCCCCATATCGATCGTGCAGGCTGCGCATCTTGACGTAAAGGTCGAGATGAGGAACATTTTGCTTGATCACCCAAAGGCTGGTTATCCGTGCAGTTAGCGGTCCTGGAAACGATCTGAGAGGGTGAAGCAATAGTCGATACACAGTCATGGAGCTGAGAAGGCCGCTGACGAAGGACGCGCTTAAGATGCTCGCGGAAGCGAAGGAAGAGATCCAGGAGATATTTCCAGTAACAGCGACTGCTATAACTGTAGCTGCGAAGAGGACGCATGATGAGATGAGGATGTTGGCTGCATGGCGGTCCCATTCGCGATCCCCTGCGAAGACAGTAGCGTGGAGCACGACACCCGCAGCGAATGTAATAGCGAATCTCATATTCTGTATCCTGGCATAAGAGTGATTGATGGAGCAGAAGGGTTCATTGTTTGGAAGTCATCTAATACGGCGGGTAGCAGCAGCTATGTGTTGCTGCCAGGCAGTCACGCTCGGTCCGCGCGGTCGGCATTTTCGGTCATTCCTTCTCACCTCCATTACGGTGCTGCGTGCTGTCTAATCAATTCACAAGGGACGATTGAGGATAGGCAAGAGATAGGTGTGGTGATAGAAAGAGCAACGTGATGGGTAGGAAGAGATGGTAGTCGCAGACGCGTCACGAAAGACGCGATGCCGCCGGCACGACTCCGGCAATGCTCATTGGCTGACACGCGTCGCCCGTGCGATCTATCTCGAAAACAACGCGATGCCGCCTCCATCGCCCTTCGACTCCGAAACCTCAACACCCATACCGGCCTTCGCATAGAATCCTCTATTCTTCTCTCCGCACAATACACTAGCCACAACCTCGTCGCCCTCCTTCTGCGCTTCGCGTACACCCCACGTGGCTAACAGCTTTCCAACACCTTTACCTTGGTAGTCTGGGTGTACACCACAGACGTGTAAGTCCCAGCACTCAGTGCGATGGCCAGTCCAGTACTTTTCAGAGTTCGCGACAGCGGTGTCGAGGAAGGAAGTGCGCGTAGGATCAGCCGCGCGGTTGGGGAAGAGCGCTAGAGACATGGAGTGATATGTCTTTACGACCGACGCGACGAGGTTACCTGCGGAGGTATGGTAAGCTGAGTGATACGCTCATAGAGGCTATAGGAAGTGCTTTATGGACTTACGTGGGTCTGCTCTCGCCAACTCCAACTTCTCTCCACCTCTACCTAGCCTTCTCCAATCCGCTGCTCCGATGACCTTTCCAGCGTCTGTCACGACGAAGAATCGATGTCGCCAGTCCCAGAACCGTTCTCGGATACCGCGCAGCAAGAACCAGTATACGTCGTCCGGATACTCCTTGCGGTGCGGATGCATGATCACGCCGATAATCTCATCGTCAAAGAACGCCGCTGTCCATACTGTCGCTATCGAAGAAAGATCTGAGAATCTTGCAGGGCGAAGCTCAAAGTTGGTTGTGCACGTCGACATATCCGGGCAGTTGATCAACGGTTAACACTGCGATACAGCGCTATGCTCATGCATTGCCAACTGACGGGGCTGCGTGTACGCGCTCTAAACGTACTTTATCCAGTTGTGAGAGGCCCCACATTCGAGCTACACCCCTGTCGCTATGCGTGCGGAGTATGCATACATCACAACCAGGACAGCACGCTTTCTTTCTTAGTGCAGTCCAGGAGACCGAAAAGAGTCACAAACCTTTGATCTCTGCTACCATTCCTCTTCTCATTGTTTGTCGGTGCTCACAAGGGCTGTGAAAATGGTTGAGCAGCACGTGATGCTGTTTGCTCACTCGGTGTGGTCCACGCGCGCTACGCGGGACGGGCATACGTATATATACGTGTATCATTCGCTGATGCTGACCCCGGATAATAGCGCACGTTCAACTCATGAACCAGATGATGCCCTGGTCAAGTACGCTGGTTGAGGAACAAGCTCATCTCATCGATCAGCCGCGCATTCAACGACTCCATGACGATGCTTGCTCGCCGTCCACGCCATCGCGCAATCGCTTCCCACTTCCGAACGAACTTCTAGACGATGTACTAGAGTACGTCGTCTGCGACAATAATGAGAGCTACAGTGACGTCCTTAGCTTCCTCTTGACCTCCAAGGCCTGCAACGAACCGGGGTTCAAGAAGTATCTCGATCGCACCGTGTGCTTTGCGCCAAATCCAGATAGCCTCGCCGTACTCAAAGGCATCGCTGATGATCCAGCTCGAGCGAAACTCGTGAAGGCTATAGTGTACAAAGATGCGGCGCCCAGACGACTGGAAGTTGCAGAGTTTGAGAGGGCAGGCCTGAGCTATCGTGACCGCGAGTTCCACCGCCCTTGTCAACACGACCGGATGACGGATCCCTATCTTTGGTCTACATGGTTGGAAGATAACAGCGTAGGTTGGATGGACAAGTTCATCAACTTGGAAGCAGTTTGCTATCGGCCAACCCGCAGCATGCTTCCACTTTCCGTGGATAGAGCGTACACGAAGCATACACCACTCAGGGAGACTAACAACTTGCGTCTCATGGATCAGGCCCCCTATCAAGAGCTGTACGGAATTAATACAGGCAACATTGTTCTCCCTTCATTCAGCCTCGCTCAAAATTATCCGCTACGGTACACCTGCGCGAAATCTCAAAGCAGACACTCCATGAACATCTTCTACGCGTTGCTTAGACACATAGATCACCGCCAAGGCCAGCGACTTTGGAAAGCCTCCATCAACTTCAACACACTTGGCTTCGTCGGTTTTCCGACCGGAGACATGGTACTCTCTCATCTCACTACACTGGAATACATATTTGACAGTGGCGACAAGTCTGATGCGTATAGCAGCGACTCGTTGAAGATGAGACTGGCCAACGACACTTTCATCATGCCCAACACCTTGCGCTGTCCAAATTTACGGCATCTGACCTTTTCGGGAAGATCGCTCGCAGAAAACAACGCGCTTCACATGTCCATGCCTCAGATAGGGCTAGTGTCGGGATCGTCTCAGCTTCTCTGTCCGATCTGGACCTCCAGTCTCGACACGTTGAGTCTCGTCAATGTGAAATTGAACCGGATCGCAGTCCAGAAGTTACTTCGACTATCAATCAGACTTCGGTTAGAGAATGTTGTCTTTCTTGAGAATTCATTGGAGGTCTTTACAGAAACCTTGGAGAATCGCCTCCTGTCAATCGAAGTGGGCGGTCTTATCGTCGTTGCAAATACGATTATAGGTGGGTTTGACAAGGTCTGGGTCGTCGGTAGTGAGATGGAGGCTGCAGCAATCGTCCGACAGTATCGTGAGTATGTTCGCGACTCGTCGGCTTTGGAAAACATACCCTACGTTTCGTCCAAGGATCTAAAGTGGTATATGCTGCTTAGGGGGCCTTCGCCGTTGCGGCTGGACAACATGTGGACGACGTCGAAGGTTCTGGCGCTGAGGAATGATTCATGGTGAGAGCCATGCAGCCATCTACGGAAGCATATCGTCAGTCCCTCAACTCTGCTGATGTCCCTCGGGGAACGCGGGGGATCGCGAGAAATGACCACTAGAGCCAGCGGAGCCATTCCCATAGCTAGTAACGCAATGACACGTAAGGCTTTTGACTCATCTCCAGGGAACGAAGTATTGTGGAACACACCGGCACTTTCGATCATGCAGTCTAGAAGGGGCTCACATAACCACATTTCTTCTATCCATCCACCCAGGCAGCAAACAAACCCATTGCACATTCACTTATAAAGCGCCGGGACTATTCTTACACTTACCTCGCTCAGATTCACTCCACTCAGACCGACAGTAATAGCGATGCCACCCATAATCCTACGAACGCTAGACAACAGTACCCCTACAACCAATCTATCAACACCCTCAACACTTACCCCAAACAACAATACCTCCACATCTACTTCAGCCTCCCCTTCAACCTCCCCTTCGACAGCTGCTCGCGACTCCTTAGCCGCCAACCGCCTACTTACCGGCTTATTCATCAAACCCAACCCCAATCCGCACGACCAGCCAGAGCCCGCCATGCCTGATCTAGAACGCGGTCGCTCCCCGCACGGAAATGATGGACGCAAACGTCGGTATACTGGGATGTACAGGCAGGGTGAATGGGTGAACATGACTATCGCGGTACTTCTGGTTGTGAGCGGTGTGTGTTTTGCGTTGTCTATACTTTATGGCACTGGTGTGTTGTGAGTGGTTGATGGGTGAGAGGATTGGAGATCGCGGTATGGGGCGGGGGCAGGGTGTTTCCCAAGTCCATCCGATCGAATACTACACAAGTCGCTCGCAGCGCTACATGCCTTTCGTTCACACCAGATTTCAGCCAAACAGTGCATTGCTCATTCACTGTCAAAGCGCCCGGCCGCTCTATATAATCGTCTCACTTATTCACCATATCCACTATGTCACCCATTATATTACGAGCTCTACACAACGGTACGCCTACAACCTATCAACCCCTGCAACCTGTTCAACAGTTGCTCGCGAAACAGCAACCGACACCAACACCATGTCCGACCCAATCATCTGCCCCAACACATACGACCAGCAAGAGCGCACTACAATTGATCTAGAACGCGGTCTCCCTTCAGAAAGAGATGATAGGCGGCGGGACATCAGAATTCACAGCGTGGACGAAATGTCGAACATAGAGATCGCGGTAATCTTGGTCTCAGGCGTTGTATGCTGTGTACTGTCTGGACTGTATCTATCTAGCGTATTGTGAGTGGTTGTTGGATAAAGAAGGGGGGGATTTGAGATGGCGACGTGGGGAACTTCATGTATGATAGTTTAGAACTAGATGTACTGGAGCATGCAGATAGATAGTTCAACTCGCGTTAATAAGTGTCAAAATAAAATATGCTGTACACTTCAACCGTGCATTTGGTACGTTGTACAGAGGACGGGTGGCGAGATGGCAGGTTGCAGATTAGTCAGCAGACGAAGTGGGGTGAAAGCAACATCGCACACGATCACCAGACGTTACCCTTCTGCATCACATTTTTCATCAGAAGCGTGATCAACGACATGTTCCATTCAATATGTACCCATACCAGAATACCAGCCTGGCAAATACGACAGTATCCACGCATCGCATAGCAGCATCCCCACCATCCTTGTTTTCTCCAACCTCGTCATCACATCCACATCCTCACGTTTTCGCACCACCTGTATCCGCCAACCCCTCACACCTTCTTGCGACCACTTCCCTTAGGGCGCCCTGGCTTCCTCTTCGGGGTAGCTGGCAGAGCCAGAGGCAACGAAGTAGCCTTTTGTCGTTTCCTGGTTCTCTTGACACCCTCTGCTTCTTTCTCCGGCGCGTCCACGTAGTCCTCATCGTCGTCGATGACGATGGGCCTCTTGCGCGACTGCTTTGGAGTTATCTTCTGCGCGACATCGGGGCTTGGTACCACCGACGATGCTGCAGCGGCCTCACGGGGAGCAGACAGCGATGCGGTCTTCTTAGCGTTGGAGGCGCTCGGCTTGGCTTTGGGTGCCTTGGGTGCTGCGGATTGCGCTGCCGTGTATCGCAGGTAGTTTGCGCCGGCTTCGCCGAGATTGGCTGGGCTACTGCCGACGACGGGGTGGTTTGCTTCTCCAGGCGCGGTCGCGGTAGTGTTGCCAGGCGCCTTCATTTTCTCCACCGGGCTCACCAGGATGTCTTCGAAGAAGTTGTCGCCTACTCGAGGGATCGAAATATCGAAGGCATGATGCTCTTTGCGCGGCGTATAACTCTTGCGTAGTGTGCCGTCGGTATGGCAAGGCACGGAGGTGATCTTGAGTGCGATATAGCATTTGCGAAACTTGGTCTGCTTCTCGCGCTTGATAGCTGCCTTTTCGCGTAGGGTGCGACGCAGGTTCTCTGTCAAGCGGTCAGCGTCATCGCGGGCGTTACTGCCAGTAAGTGAACATACCTGCCGCTGCTGACGTCAAAGTACTAGCCACGAGCTTCTCGTTCTCCTCCTCTACGCACGCGTCGCAGTAGAACAGCAGCATCTTCGCCTTCTTCTTCTCGTCGCCGTTGATCTTGTGCGATCTGTGCTCGACACAGTAGCAATTGGGTGCGCATCGCTCGTCGGGCGTGGGTGTGGTGATGAGGTGGCCGCATGCGAGGAGGTGCTCGTAGGACATGGATGTGTTGTTGCATGAGTCCGCGTCCCGTGATCCTAAGACGCGTGGGTAGGTGACTGTCTCGTGTATGGCGTCTGTCTTCTGCTTGGAGTCGGTCTTCTGCTTGGTGGATGGCGACGGCGCGGCTGCTTGGCCTGGGAGCGACCACCGAGTGTTGAGCATGTTGCCGAATTGTCTGGCGACAGACGACGACATGAGTGCTAAAGACGAGAACACTTTTGGATACAGGATGATATAGGCGGCAAGCGCGATCTGAATTGTGCGGTAGGTGGGTGGTCGGTAGCTTGGACTGTAGGTCAGGCGAGGCAGAGTGAGTCGAAAGAGAAGAGTCGGTCTCGCGACAATAGGATTGAATACTCAGAATTCACCGCCAAGAAGTGAGGGTGAGTTGGGTGTGAGCTCTTGAACAGGCGATACTCACGCAGCCGTAGTTAGTGAAGGGCAGGCCGCGCACAATAGCAACCGCGCAGTCTTCACCTCGCCCATGATTTCAGACCGCGCATCGCGTACGCAGCGAATATTGAGGGTGTTATAGCGTCTTCGGACGATTTCGTGACGTGGGTTCACATGGTGGTGTAGTATATAGTTGCACCACCTGAGATTGGCGGAGGTATCGTGAAGCTGGGTAGGCGCGACTGACGAGTGATTCAGGAATGACGTCAGCTTGCTACTTCTGCTTTCACGTTGATTGCTGGTTGTGCGTGCTTGCTCTAGGACGTAACAATATGCGATGCGCAAGATGACTGACACTTGCAGCAAGTGAACGCCTACCCAACTTCGTATGATTTCGGCGATATTCGGATGTATCGGCACCGAGACCAATAGCTCGAAGAGCCAGTGAGAACTATGAGGTCTCTCCAGCAGCATGGATGACAGCCACGCTCATTGGCTGCCATAGTGGTTGCCTAAATCGTCAACATCGGGCGGAGTCAAAACGTCAAAAGCCTTGACATCAACATCGACATTCACTCCTCTACACACCCTTCTTCTTTGACGACCCATAGAACAATCAACGTTTCACGATGCCAGTCTCTCTAGAACTAACAACAGACACCGAGCATCCCGACACTCTCACCGCATCGTCAGAATGTCCAGATATCTACGCAGAAACCATGCCTGGCAACCCGCCATATCTTTCCGTTACCATCAACGACCCCGAGACCCTCTCAGTCCTAGGCGACGCGCTAGCCACATCAGGCGCCGACATCCGCATCCTGCAGCCACAGTCTTCACGCAAGTCTGCCGACGACTGCTTCTCGCTCCCCGTCACTGCAATCAGAGCGCTGCACATCGGGATATCTCCGCTCGTCTCCTCCGATGATGTTCTAAACGACGGTGACACCTACGGCCCATTGATGACTCCTTTCATCCAAAGCTGGCGCGAAGCATTTCGTAGTCTCCCAGAGCGGCACTCAATCGAGCGCGTTGTATTCAACGTGCGCTGTGAAGATCCAGGCACGGTACGGAAAAGTGGCCATTTGCTCCAGGAAGTGAGCACAGGGATGTATGTAAAAGCGAAACGGACAATGGGGAGGGAGATAGTGTTTAGGGTTGTGGGCTATAAGGATGTAAAGCACAAGCGATGGCTGGAGGGAGCTCTGCCTGGTAAGAAAGAGGGACTTGGAGCTCCGGTAGCCAAGAAGGATACGAGGATAGCAGATGCACTGCAGCTTCAATGAAGGTGGTCATTGTATGCCGAGAGTAAGCCAGCCTTCAAACAGATGCAATCTCACTTGCACTTTGACCCCTCTCCCATATGTCCGTCCACATCATATCTTCACAATCCAGTCACTACAGCCTACCATTTCACTCACACCCAAACCCGAATTCTTCCCGCCCGCGACTTATCTAGCCAACCCATACCGCACCCTACCATGGCGCTCACGAAGCCGTCGCCCCAAAACCACTGCGACGACCCGTCCACCCCTCTCCATACTCTAGACTGCGAACACGTCATCAAGCCGTCGTCCTCGCGTTCCACGCCGGTGTGCTTCCCTGCCCCAAAGTCGCCATGCTCAACAAACTGCACGCGCAGTATCTACACTACAAAGCCCCAACTTCCCTTGGCCTGGCTCAAGCGACAAGAAAACCTGCATCAGCATCCATTCATCTGCCCCGTCTGCATCGAAGATCAGATACGCAGTCAGTACGCGCGATACGTAGGGAAGCAAAAGGCACGATCGGATGCGCGGATAGTAACAGACGATATGGAAACGAACGTGCAGCTTTGGACGTATGAGGCTGTGTTAGAGGTCGCAGCGCAGGGAGGTAGGGTCTGCGAAGCAGCCTCTGGAGATGGCGAGAGGTCTGTCTTTCGGATCAAGTATCTTGAGGGGTTCAAGGCTTTAGGACAGAAAACAGACATCATGGATAGGGTTTGGGAGATGAGAGTCGTGCGCGAAGAGATTGGAGTTGAGGAGCAGAACATGATCACGCCCAATGAAGATGTAGAGATGGACAACTTAGCTGAGCAGCTTTTGGACACAAAAATTGCGATTGCGCAAGACAGCGCAGTTGATGATCTTATGGAGGGTGTGTCAAGATTGTAGACGGGGGCATGTCTTCTGTTGTGTCCACCTGGTTAAGCTTGTTCTCGCCGTCGGCCTACCTGCCCGCCCCGGACATGGGAAGATGGCAAAAAAAACATCAAAATACATACAACAGCGGGGATTCGCTAGTAGTTACCCACCTAACTACTAATCCGCCGGTATCATGCTTATATATAGCTTAATTAATTAATTAATATTAGTTTTACGCCTATATATAACTTTCTAGAGAGCATTTTAGTAGGCACTACTAAGAAGTTATAGTAGTTGTATACTACTTTATAAGCCTATTCTAAAGTAAATTATATATATATTAAAGAAATAAGAAAGACCTCTAAGTACCTCTTATACTTATTATATTTAGTAGTAATACTACTTTTTAGTAGTATTAAAGTAGCTTACTACTATATTAGATAAAAATAAATAAAAAATAGTAAATATAAATATAAAATAATAAGAAAATAGTAAATAAAAGTAAGTAATAGTAGCTTTTAGACTACTAGTACTTTACTAAAAAATACTAAGAAATTTAGTAGGTCTTAGTAAATTTAAATAAATTTATAGTATAATTATACTACTATAGTAGTTTATTACTTTAATAAAGAATATAAATTTATTAGGCTAGTTTATTAATTTTTTAAAGTACTTAAGCTTTTCTTTCTATATACTAAAAAAGGTGTTAAAGTGTAAAAACTAGTATTAAAACTTTAACTAGATTCTTTTATAAAAAATAATATATTTAAAAGTCTTAGCTCTACTATATATATACTCTAAAGTTATATCTTTATAGTTAAATCTTTAGTAATACTAAGTAAAGTCTTTATATTTAAAATAGATTATTAGAGTCTTAGCTAGTACATACTAAAGTAAAGTTAGTATAGTTAGTAGCTATCTAGTAGCGTAAGATAGTTACTATTATAAGTACTAAGTAGATAGTTTATCTCTTTTAGTATTCTACTAGTTTTAGTAAATATATTTTAGTAGGCTTTAACTAATTAATCTAATACCTAAATATATAGAGTTATTTACTTATCTAACTAGTAGATATAAGTCTTTAGCTTTATTATTTACTATTTAGTCTACTAGTTTATTTCTAAAGATACTAGTATATTTAGGTATTTACTATACTTATATATTATAAGTATTTATAATACTATATATTTATAAGAATACTTATTAAAATAATACTAGTACTTATTTTTAGATACTTTAAATAATAGAGGTACTATTAATATAGAGTATAATCTTCTAGTAGCTAAGTAGAGTAAGATAAACTATATATATAAGACCTTTATAGGCTTTTATTACTTTTATATTAAATACATAAAAGAGAAGATATAATAAGCTTTAGCTAGTTATTAATTTAGTCTAGCCTTAGTAAATAGTATATTTATAAGTTATAGCTTTTTAACTTTTAATTTATTACTTAAAGCTATCTAAAAAAATAGTTACTATTATTAGGCTAAGAGCTTTCTACTATACTATAAAAGTAGCTATAGCTTTAGTTTTAGCTTAGCTAAAAGTAAAGTCTTCTTATAAGCCTAGTAAGAAATATTAAATATTAGTTAAGATTAGCCTAAAGATAGTAAGTAGAAGCTAGACTATTTATTAGACTTTAGATTAAAAGTATTAGTAATCTTTAGCGCCTTTACTCTATTAAATAAAAAGTAGTAAAATTTTATTTACTAGTAGGTAGAAGCTATCTATACTTAGTAGATATACTAATTATTAGAGCTTAATCTCTTCTAGAGCTACTACTACTAATAGTATAGTAGCCTCTCTTAGTATAATAGCGTTTAGTATAGTTTACTACACTAGTAGTATAGCTCTTATAGTAGTTATTATAGTATAGTTTATTATAGCTAAGTACTACTTAATATAAGTACTAACTATAAGCTTATAAAAGGCTCTAATAATTTATAAGTTCTTTATTCTTTTTTTATACTAAGCTTTAGCTCTATAAAATAATAATAGTATAATATAAGTTATAACTACTTTATAAAAGAATATAGTAAGTAGACTATAAGTAGTATTTATAAAACTTTAAAAGTAGTAAGAAATCTTTTAAGTAACTACTACTTATTTAGTAATATAAGTTTTAAAAGTTAGCTTTCTATTAAACTATATCTCTAGCTAGCGTAAAGCTACTAAGCTACTATTTACTTTAAAAAGAATAGCGTAAATTTCTTAGTTATTAAGCTAGATAGAAAAAGAAAGTAGGCTTTATTTTTTTATTAGGTAAATTAGCTTAGTCTTTTTAAAAGTAAATATAATTTTATTTACTACTTTCTATTTATTAATAGACTTTAAATTAAAAACTAGTAATATAGTACTCTTATTTAGAGAATAAGTAGTTCTATAAATATAGATATTATTAGTATACTTAAAGCGTAATTATTAGTTTTAGTTTAAAAGTTTAGCTAAGTAGAAAGTATAAAAAACTAGTAATAGTAGTAATTCTTAGAGTATTTTATAGCGTATAAAGTAGACTAGAGTAGTAGCGTTTTCTAGCTTTATATAGATAGTTTTATTAGATAAAAACTTTTAAATAAGCTTTCTAAAAATTAAAAGCTAGCTCTACTCTTTAAGTTATTAAAAAAACTAATTCTTAAGTAGTATATTAAATACTTCTTAAACGTCTATAGTAGCTATAGATATATACTTATGCCTAGACTAGGCTGTCTTTACGTTATAGATAAAAGAGGTAACTAGGTCTATAGCTAAGTGCTTAGGTAGCGCACCTCTATGCTATAGGCTAAGGATGTTGTGTGCTATAGCGATGCAGGCTATCCGCCTCGCGAGCTTGTATATGGCTGAGCGGACGGGAAGCCTAATTTTCATGGTCGTATGTGAAAGAATGGATCATTTTTGTATACATATCCATGGGTGTTGGGTGATGAATGTTAAGCGAGCGAAGCTGCATGAGTGGAGGTAGTTCCCGCAATACCGCTGTAGAGGAAAGCAAGAAGCGGAGTAAATATTAGACAAGATATCGAGAGATTGGCAGCATGAAGGTCTGTGAGGGTTCGTGCTCCAGCTGACATCGGTGATGTTGGTGCGCGCGCTGCCGCAGTCTAACTTGTAAAGAGATCGACTCATCTGGAAGAGGAAGGTGGCTAAAGAGTTATCATGCATGCTGTACTTCGTCACAACCTGGGTACATGTTCAATATGCATGTTTTCCTGCTGATGCGGACGGGTGCGGCTGAACCCTCCTGAAAACGAACGTGGTCCAATTGTACAGGCCAGGTACCCACAATTTCAATAAGCGACGCATGCTGCAAGTCTGCCCTCCCTCTACTTTCTCTTGTTTGGGGGTTGTTCGCCTAATTTTACGGCGCTATAATATATGTCTTGTTCACTATGACTGGTCTGGCCACCCGAATTGTGGAGGCTATGCGGCTGGGAAAACAAGCTTTGAGGGCGGAAGCTGAGTGACAGCAGTTTAGCTGCTCTATTGCGAGCCGTGCCGGGCTGCGTTCAAAAGCTGGGCGTAGACATTCAATGCGGGAGCCTGAACCTGAGAGCTGCGAAAGTAAGTAGTGACACTAGGCTCGTCTTATCGAGCTGCAGATTCCGAAGGATTAGCGATGGATTTCTTGTGCTGATCTTGAAGGTAGCCCCGGAAGCAGGTGCCAGAGTTAGACTAAGAGACGCGAAATCCCAAAGCCTCCAGGGCTTCGACTGCGCGATGGCAACTGACTCTGAACCGCCAATGGAAGGGACGATGCCGAGCCAGCCTATCGAGAACGGCGCGGTTATGGACAGAGTTGAGCGACCATGCAAGGAGTGCGCATCGCTCAATCTAAACATTGAGAAGTTCGTGATCGAAGACGATAAGGCAGCAGAGATTCGCCCGTCACTCGATTCGTTGCGACTAGCCAACGAACGATTTCGACTCGGAACTCTTGACAGCATCACTGAGAGAGCAGAAACTTGCCCTCTCTGCCGTCTCGTAATCAACTCAATCGCAAAGGACGTCTTGAAGAATGTCGATGCTACTAAGGCAGTCTGCCATCTGACGTGGGAGATGGACGGCCGGTTGTCTGTCGACCCCAGACGCGCACTACGAGAGAGGCGAACCCGTCGACTGAGGGTTACATGGAGTGATGCGTTGCTCAAAGCCTTCGAGTCTTACTTGGTCTTAGCAGCACCGATGAAGTACGCCAATTCTGATCTGGATTATCCCAAGCAGCTGAACAGGGAAACACAATTCCTCGGGCGTCGCTTCGGTGCAACGGAGAACAAGAAGAACCTCATCCGCGAGTTCTTACGTCTATGCGAGAATAACCACGATCGTCGCTGTACCGAGCAGATTGGCATCGAGAACCCTTTCATGGAAACGTTGATGGAGCCCTATTTCGGCGTCATTGACATCGAGAATGACCGGCTTGTTCCCTTGCCATTCGAGGGTACGATGGAGCGCCTGGAATTCGAGCCTTATGCCGCTGTGAGCTATGTTTGGGGCGACACAGGTAGGATGGACTATCGAACGAAGATCAGTAACATACAAAGTCGGCGGAAATCTGGTGGTCTGGCTGCTACAATTCGCAAGCTGCCAAAAGCGCTTGTGCAGAGCATTCGGCTGGTCCATGACTTGGGTATAAGATACGCTTGGATTGATGCGCTGTGTATTGTGCAGGACAGCAGCCACTCGTGGAGCCTTAACTCGCGGGCCATGCATCTCATATACGGCAATGCGACGCTGACGATTTGCGCTGCGGACGGTGATTCACGGACTGGTTTGCTGGCCCTTGACGAAGGTCAGCGTCCACAGCAGCAGATTGGCGTTTATGCTGATGGCGTGCACTTAATATTGCATCAGCCATCTGAGATCAGTATCCAGACGTCAAAGTGGAACACGCGCGCTTGGACGTTCCAGGAACGATTGCTTTCCAAACGTTGCTTGATATTTACCCGAGGTCAAATTTACTTTCAGTGTCGCTCTACTGGTATGTCGGAAGATGTCTTCGCAGACGGAAAGGGCAGAGGCTGGTCGCTAGATCTGGTACAAGCGCCTCTCCAAATGCTCACGGAGCTCAAGAAACGTAGCATGTGGTTCTATGCCCACTGTGTACATCTCTACACCTTGAGAGAGCTTCACGAACCGCTAGATATCCTGGCAGCATTCAGTGGAATGTGTAGGCTGATGGAGGGAACCATGCGAGCACCCTTTGCTTTCGGGCTTCTAACGTCACACTTTGACTTCGCTCTTTTGTGGGAGCCAGTTGACCGGTTGGAACCTCTGGACTATCACAACGTTTCGGAAAAACCTAAGTATAAAGACATTAAGTTCCCCAGTTGGTCTTGGTGTGGGTGGAAGAGTGATGGTATCCAATACAAACCGCAGATGATCGATGGCTGTCTCACTGATGTGCATGCTTGGCTGTTGGACCACACGTGGATTGATTGGCACATCAGAGACGGCCATGGAACACTGCGTCGCCTTTGGGATAGAGAATGTGCCATCACGGATCGAAGTACCGACGATAAATGGAGAGGTTACAGCGCATCAATACGACCAGCCGAAGAGCCTGCTGTTCCTGAACCCAATACAAGCGAGAATGGAAGCGACAATGACTCAACGTCATCCTCCAGCGCGATCCACGGGCGTCGGCATCGACGGGCCGTTCGTCTTAGGCGACCTATTGCACATGCGTTGACCAGTACCGTTACGGATCGGCAGATGACTAACACCATTGGCACGGGAAGCCTGAAGCGCATGAGAACGTCCACCGGTCAACTTCTGGAGAGAATGGCCAACCGTGAAGCCCATGATAGTTACGGTCGGCGCTTAACAGGAGGCCCATTAGATGAAATCCAGTTCAAAAGACGATTAGACTTCGCTCTAACCTTACCCGAAGACCCCTATCATGTCAGGATAACAGCATCCAGTCAATCCGCCGGTGATCTCAAAGAGTTTCCAGACCAGTCCTTCTTACAATTTTTCACTTGGCGGGCCTCTTTCCACATAGTACGCTCAAGTGAGTCCAACGTCGAGGGAGACAACGTTGGAGCCGCGAGAGCTCGATGCCACATAACAGACCGACGGGGCGACAAATGCGGATCCGTTGTTGTCAACAAGACTTGGCTGGAGAAGTACGAAGCCACCGGTCAGACTACGTTCGAATTCATTGCGATCTCAGACGCAAAATCATTCAGCCAACAGGAGTTCCCGGTGTGGACATATTATCTGCCAAAAGAGAGGGTCGATTCCGAATGGGATTTATACTTTGTGCTCTTGGTTGAGCCATTTCCCGAGGAAGGAATTCATCGGCGCGTGGCTCTTGGCAAAGTCTTCAAAGCGGCGTTTACCCTCTCGGACGATGAGTGGAAGGAGATTATCCTGGGATAGTCTAGCGTTTCGATATGGCAGAAGACGAATAAAAGGCGCATTGACGTGATGCCGTGAAGACACACCGACATGACAGCCAATCCGGTGAGGTGGGTATGACAGACCGTAAGATGGCAGAATGTAATGACAGTCAGGCCGTAACGGACATAATCTTAAATGCGTGATGTGTTAAGTGGTCGCAATGCCATTCGCCAAAAGCGGGTGAGCGAACGAACTTGCCCATCTCAGACAAACAATGACCGCAGGTTCCGACGCATCATGTTTGCGCGAAGCAGGGAAGAAGTCGATTGGACTGTCCTAATTAGCCACAATAAAACAATACAATCGAAACCTGTCACGACGTCAGGCAATAAACATGGTCAGCAGCGGAGAAGGGTCAAACCACAACCACAGCCACAGCCTCATGGAACCAATCCACATCCAACACTCTCCACATCAAGAAGGCCATAGTAACAAGGGATCCAAGAGAGTATCTAAACACATGATTATTGGCAGACAAGTCATCCAGGAAGATAGGAAGTGACGAGCTGGTCCTATGTGCTATTAGCAGCCATGAGTCCTCCACTTCCGTGGTAAGTGCCGCTGATGCATGCGCAATCGTCTGTGAGGAGACCTGAGACCAAGTGAAAGATCTGAACAAGACCGAAGTCCTTTCACGGAACGTACCGAAGTAAGCACTCCTCCACCGCCATGTCCCACGCCATATACAAGCTCTCGCCCATCATCCGCCTAAACAATCATGCCCGTCATGCACCGGGACCTTATCCTTTCAGTTTCCACCAAGACCTTCATCCATCATACCTCTGAACGTTCGTTCATCCCTCATGTTGATCTTGACAACGCAGCTTCCACCATCCAAAGCACTGCACGTTGTACACCTTCGCCAGCAGAGCCTGAAAAGCAACGCCAAAAAGAAGAACAAGCAGATGAAAGAAAGAGAGTCGTATCATACCGTCAACGCCATGCGTACGTACCAGAGGTGTGAGAGTGTGCCGAGAGTAGGCACCGTAAGAGTAAACCGAGAGAATGAGTCGTAAAGAAACCGTAAGAACCGATCAAGGTATACTGTGCACATGAGTGATCGGGCATGCTCGGCAGTAGTGGCTACCGAGCACCCCACGACAGTTGTGACGTACCGGTCGGTTAAAACCTGCTGGCAGCAGCACCCCAGAGGGAGTTGTAGATCTTGTCCACGACGTAGGAAGCGCGGATGGTGCGGTGGTTGAAAGTACGACCGTTGAGACCTTGGAGAGCCTTCTCACCGCCGGAGACCGAGTCGAACTTGACGAAGACGTCACCCTCGCTGTTGGCGTCGACAGCAATGTGAACGACCTTGCCGTACTTCTTGTCACACTCGGACTTGATCTCGTGCTGGAGCTCCTTGTTCCAGTTGTCACCGTAGTTGCGCTGTTCCCTGATAATGTGTTAGCGAATGTCTGGGAGAAGATGCGAGGACTTACTCGTCAGGGTCAAAGACGTTCTCGATCTTGACGCACTTGGAAGCCATGGGAACGGCGGGGGCAGGAGCGGGAGCCTTGCGAGTGGTGGGGACAGGCATAGCCTGACCACCCTGCCTGGAGTCTCCGGGCACGTCGCGGCGCGCGAGAGCATCCATGAGCCTGCTGCGATCATAGGTCTTGAAGTTGACCCCAGCGACATCAGAGTCGTCAAGAGCAGAGGCGCCGCTAACACCGCGGTCGTCCTTGCTATGGGTACGGTCGAAGACACCACCAGTACCACCAGCATAGGCACCACGACCACCAGCACCGCTGAAGGCAGAGCCTTGGTAGGACTGAGCCTGCTGGGTGAATGTACGGAGGAGGTTCGCGGTCGATTCGGGGGTGAACTTGTCGTTGCCGAGACCAACGCGGATCTGGCGGCCGGCGAGCTCAAAACCGTTCATCTCTGCGAGAGCATTCTTAGCGTGCGAGGGGTCAACGAACCTGTGATGTATTAGCAAATGATGTTGCAATGGACACAGACAGAGTGCTTACTGAACGAAACCATATCCCTTGGAGCGGCCAGGGTTCAACTCATCGCGCTGGAGGATGACCTGCTCAAGCTCACCAAAAGGCTCGAAGATCTCCTGGAGATCCTTCTCGGTGACGCTGAAGTGGATGTTGCCGACGTAGAGACGGTGGAAGGGGGCGCCGTTGGCACCGGGTGCAGCACCGCCCTCGGAAGGACGAGCAGCACGGTTCTTCTCGGCTTCAGTAAGCTGGGCAATGATGGGAACGCCCTTCAGTTTCTGGCCAGTCAGCTCCAGTGCAAGAGGTACAGACTCTTCAGCTTCGAACTCAACGTAGCCGACGCTGGAAGGATGTTAGCATGCATCTATGAGGAATGGAGAAGTGAGCACTCACCCCTTGCTACGGCCAGTAACACGGTCCTTGACGATCTGAGCTTCGACAACAGGGCCGACACGCTCGAAGAAGCTGCGCAAGTGACGCATCTCAGCGCGCTGGGAGATCTGCTGGACGAAGATGGTGCGCTTGTCGCGGTCGTCCTCGGTGACCTCTGGCTTGGGCGGGGTGTTGTTGCGACGGCTGTTGCGGCGGTCGTCACCACCGTTGCGGCGACGGTCGCGGGACCTCTCACGGTACCTGTCGTTGCCGCGGTCGCGAGGGGAGCGGGAACGCGGACGACCGCTACCGCTGTAGAAGTCGCCTCCGCGGTCACGGCCTCCACGACCTCCACGGCGGTCGCGCGAGCTGCTGCGGCGGAGCCTATCACGGTCTTCATCTGTGTCAGCACCTTTGCTAGAACGGGGACGGCTTCCGTCTCTTCGGCGGTGGTCTCTATCGCGGCTGCGACGGCGATCTCCATTGGACTCACGATGACGGTCCCCACGGTCTCGGCTCCTATCACGGCGGTCACGGCGATCTGAGTGGCGGTCGTCGCGGCGGCTGTCGGTGTCGCGCGCCTCGCTGCTGGCGGTGCGCTTGCGCTCAGCGTCCTTCATCTCGACTTCGCGGGCGGTCTCCTCGAGGAGGGCCTCGACTGCGGCTTGGGTAGACATGTCGACGTCGGTGGCGGTTCCTAGCTCTCGATAAGCGTAGCTGGTGGAAGTGATGCGCGATGTCACTGCAATGGGCGATGTGTTGTTGTGATGGCGAGCTGGGGCTCAAGTATTGATTTCAATTGCGATATCGAACGGACGTAGAAATGTCACTGCTGGCGCTTGCCGAATGACCTCTTGACCGAGATGCACTTGACAAATGGGTGCTTGATTGAAGCTTTGCTCGTGCAGCACGACGTGTTAATGGGTGGGTGAGTGGAAAGTGGAGAGGCAGGCCTGGGCGTGATAAGTTGAAAAGTTGGAGAGGCCTTGGCAGGGTCCGCGTGACTAATAGTCAGCGAGTCCGTGCGGAGGTGACTGCCGCCGTGAGCGCAACAGGGAAATGAGCAGTGACTGAAGAATGGTGAACAGAGGTGAAGTGATTGTTGGCATTACGATTATCTGAGGTAGTGAGTCATAAAGTTATCTACAAACATCAAAGCTGCATCGACCCAAAATGGCCCTGCAGACCCGCTGAACGCCTTCTTCAATGCCGGTCTTGACAACGTGGTGACAGGTGGGTGTCTAATAACAAAAGTCTATTCGTGGGCCGCCATTTAAGTGGACTTGATGACCTTGGAGGGTCCCATCTCAAGCTCGGTGCCGAAGATGCGGTCCCAGAAGCGGCTGGTGACACCGAAACCGTTTTGGTAGTCGGCGAAGTGGTGCGCAAGGTGGTACTTCTTGAGTTGCTGGTAGTAGGGAGGTAGCCTTCAGTTTGTTAGCGAGGTCCTTCATAGTGATCTATGGGTATACATACTTCTGGTGGTGGAGGAAGTAATGTGTCATGTCGTAGCAGGTGTAGCCAAAGATACCACCACAGTAGGCAGCCAGAGCGGCATACCAGTTCCAGAAGATGATCGCGTGTGCAAACTTCCAGAACGGCGCCGCCAAGACAGCGAAGAGTGTAGGGGGCATGACGAGCCTGTATCTGTCCATGGGAAGGTAGTGGTGGATGCCGTGGAGCAAGAAGTGGAGGGTGATCGCGACGCGGTTATCAGGGAGATGGCTGCTTGTTGTTAGCACAAGTCGAATCCATGTGGATGGGGAGTACTTACTCATCCAAGTGGAACAATCCCCTGTGCAAGACGTATTCGATAATGGTCCAGAATCCTAGCCCAAAGATCCAGTATCCAGCAAGTTCCGTCGCTGATGATAGCCCACCAAACGCGACCGCTGTTCCATATGCGACACAAGGCCACCAAAGCGATGGTACAACCCACCATGGGGTCTTGCTGAGCGGCTCCAGGAAGTTACCGAACAGCGGCGCGGAATCGCCTCCCTTGTAGTGGCGCGGGCGATGCACTTGCTGTAGGTAAAAGTCCTTGCTAAATCCACCATTCCAGACCTGCATCAGAAGCGGCTTGCTCAGGTCCAAGAACTTGTGCTGCTTGTAGTCCTGGTTCGGGTCTGTCGGTTTTGAAAGGTCTTCCGCAGATGACATGCCGGTTGCTTCGTACAGCGGCTTGCCGTCCTGTTCCATGCCCTTGAGCTCCAGCTTGCCAGCCTCGGAAGATGGCAGAGGCACGATATCTGCAGGATTCGAGCTCTTTACTACGCCATTCAGGAGATTTTCGGGGACCATGAAGCCCACCAAGTTTTCCTCGAGAATCTCGTAGGCGGAATCGGAATGGGTGTGTGAGATCTCGTCCTTTAGGATTGCCTCGATGTCTTTGCCCGCATATTCAAGGATAAACTCGGGGCCACCGGGATGGCCATCAAGGAAGTCGGTAACATCGTAGACCTTGGTGCCAATCGTGACATAGCAGGACTTCTCGTTGTTGTGCGCGCGTACCTCGGCGGTCGGAATCGTCGGAAGGGTGCGGCCGGGCATTGTGGTGGTTGTAGACATCAAGTCTATGTTCGGCGGTGGGTTGTTTGCGGTACGTAGGAATGGGACTGTGGTTTATATGTGTCCAGCGGTGTATCTTCAAACACTGGTCTCGGCGGTGTGGTGAATAGCTGCGGTTGCGTGGCGACACTAATTCGGTGGCCGAGGACAGAAGCTGCGGCGCAGTAAAACACAGCACGATGTAGAGAAGGAGCGTATAGGGTGGGAGGATGCGCGGTAGAGTAACAATACAACACGCGGGAGTGTGCGGAGAGTAATGTAGCAATCAGTCAATTGTCAGGAGAGCCAAGAGATGCGCAGATCTCACCACCCGCAGCTAATGGTGGCGAGACCGGCATTCGTGCGCTTCCACCTCCGAGATGCCACCACGAAATCTCAGACCGCGAATAGGAGATGCAATTTCCCCTCGCCTGGTATTCGCCGTAGTATGCGCTGATTGGCCTCGGTCTCTTGTAGCGTTCTGCTCATGCCCATAGTCGGATCACTGATGTTCTAGTTGTCCGCTTTCGTTGTCCGAATGCTTTCGCTGCCCGGATGCTTTCGGTTGTGGTTTGCATGTCGACCACGCCTGACGCCTAACGCCCCAGGGGATGACAGACTTCCATCGCATTAGTTTGCATGCACAACATTCCAATCAGTCCATAATTTCTAGGTAGACGTAAAATCCTATCTCGATTGATATTACCATCATGAAGGACCTTCTCAGGATCTAGTGCGACACATAATCCGGCGTACCTTGGTGACGCTTTCACGTCTTTCACATGCTTCACGCGTTGCATGGCCACCAATGAGAACCCGGATGCAGCTTGCATTGTTGCGAAACTATCTGGGTGCCTGGGGCATTTGCATCTCTTTGTAGAGGACAGCAGCAAAACTAATCAATAAGATTGAACATCTCCACGAGATCGACCAACTCTCAACGACCGAGACCCGGACATCTTATCAGATGCCTATCTCAGAGAATGCAACCATCAAGCAAGCCACCAACTCATCGGCCCGTTGTTTGGAAAGCCATGGCGTGGACGCCAATGACAGGCTGTGAGGCTGTCCGTCAGCCTTGCTGGACCCTTGTCTGCCAGGGGCAGGAACACGACATTGCGTCACTGACGGATACCAAGTCGCGACTTCTTCACTACAGCCAACAACAGCCAATCCTTGGATATGTGCCTTGCTTGCGGTGCAGGGCCCCGGCCCTTAACCTCACCACCTTTCCCAGCCTTATTCTCAGCATCCTCACAACCTTACGCTCATCTCTATACCTTTGCGACGACGCTCAGCAGATCTGCACCCTCGCATCACATATCTAGCAACCATTCCTCACCACGAAGACCTATTCTGTGATTGCGCATGCGCCGTGCGCAGTCACAGCCCATCATGTCTGCTGTTATGTTCAACAGGGATCATACCCGGTCTATAAACCGCCTCTCTATCGCACAGCTATGCACCCTCCTCTGCCTCAGCGCGCTGCCTATGGCCGACGCCATCCATCACATGGGACCTAATCACCACATGGCATTCAAGGCACCCTGGAAGACCAATCGAAGGAAGCTGGACATCACACCCCTGCTGGTGACGAACCAGTGTCCCGAGCCCATCTGGCCTGGTATTGGAACGCAGTCCGGCACAGGTCCAGGCGAGACTGGCTTCAAGCTTGAACCCGGAGAGACGAGGAATCAGACTGTATCAGAGGACTGGCAAGGTCGAGTCTGGGGGAGAACAAACTGCACTTTCAACGACGATGGCACTGCTGCTGCATCGGGTCGTGGAAAGGCTTGCACATCCGGCGACTGTAATGGCGCCTTGAACTGTCAAGTCGGAGTATGTCATACTCGTCTTCCCTTCTAACCGACTCCCGCTGACTCAGACACAGGGAGACGTACCCGTTTCGCTCGCCGAATTCACGTTGGACGCTGGAGACGGAAACACATACTACGACATCTCGCTGGTCGATGGCTACAATGTCCCCATGGCAATTGTCCTCCAGCCGCTTGACAACGTGACGCTCGACGACATCCCTCCGAACCTCACCAACCCGTCATGTCAAGGCACAGACGGGCTCCTGGCTACCCAGGGCTACAACCCGTACCCAGAATTTCCCAACTTCCTCCGCACGAATACCTCGTATCCACTTTCCTTCGACCAGGACGTAGACGAGAATAAGATCTCCAAATGGTGTCCGTGGGACCTACAACAGAGTCCTCCCGAGAAGCCTGGCGACGGCGTATATCCGTACCCTGACGACAACATCCAACGGCCACAGTTCAACCCATGCTTCTCCGCATGCGCGAAGAACAACCAGCCCAAGGACTGCTGTACAGGCGAATACAACTCACCCAACAAATGCGAACCGAGCGAGTACTCCAAGAACGTCAAGGCCGTCTGTCCGGATGCTTACAGCTATGGTACGTTCAGTCACACTGAACAATTAGAATGAATATGACTAACAGCCGCAACAGCATTCGACGACCAATTCTCTACCTTCATCATCCCCTCTGGCGCCGGCTTCGAGGTCGTCTTTTGCCCTGGTGCGCGTTCCACAACCATCCTTGCGACGAGTCGAGATAAGATGCTGGCATTGGCGCAGAATGGGAGGGTCGAGAGACAGACTACGATGATGATGAGCGAAGCCAGGAGTGACGAGGTCCGGAGAAGCGCTGCATCGGGAATCTCCCGACCTGACGGCAGCTTGCTCGCGTTTGTCTCCGCTGTGGTAGCTGCTGCTTCAGCTTCGTATATTTGGTAGCAAGGCGGTTGCATATGGTCAAAAGGGGTCTGGAAGCTCCGTTGTTGCTGGTAGTTGAAGGTTGGATAGCTCTGGTGGTTGCTGTTGTTTGATACTCGGATAGTTCTATACCCTTCGTGTTTGTACGAATTCTTCTTTAAACACCTCATTACATCAACTACCTGGCCACCGAAGGCTTACTGCATGTTCACATATGCCGCCTCGGAAAGCCGGCAGCCCATTCACCCTCCGTTGTCAAAGAAGCAATCCTGAGGTCGCACGACGCCGGCACCATCCCACACCGCGTGGGGCTGCACCACCCGGAACGCTGCCGTCGCGCCTCTCCCATCCTACACAACACTTCCAACTTCTGCATTCGACACGGAG